TTTTTTTGTTGTGGTTGTGGTTTCAAGTCTGGTATATTTATCTTTGCATTGAGGTTATCTACCTTCAATTGTAGTTATTTTCTTTGTCCTATAGATCCTTCCCCTCCCCCACCACGGGAGGTTTAATAAACATTTTCCCCTGATGACATTAATCCATAATGCAGCTCATCTCATTTATTTATCGTTAATAGAAACCCGGAACTTAAAAGTCCATTATGTTTATACATGTTGAATTTGAGGTGGCAGTGGAATATCCAAGTGGAAATGTCCATTTAGCAGCTAGAAACTTATTTAGATAGCAGATCCCTGAGATCAGGAGGATTATGCTTGCTCTTCGTGCAGGAAGTCTTAGAATGAAAATCAGACCTTGTTACTCCTCTATTCTTAACCCTCCAATGATTGGCTGATTCACTCAGATTAAAACTAAAGTCTTTAAATTGGTTTCAGCCAAGACCTTACATGATGCAGCCTTGTCTCCTGCTCCTCACTCCCCAGTTTTATTTTTCAAAAAGTATAGTTACATTCCAGCCTTAGGGCTGTACAGCCCTTGCCCTGCCAGGAGCACTCTTCCCCCAGATGTCATTCTCTCTTCTCACTTCCTTGAAGTCTTTGTTCACATCTCACCTTCTTAGGGCTTCCTAGTGGCTCAGACAGTAAAAAAAGCTGCAGTGCAGGAGACCCAGGTTTCATCCCTGGTTTGGGAAGATCCTCTGGAGAAGGAAATGGAAACTCACTCCAGTATTCTTGCCTGGAGAATTCCAGGGACAAAGGAGCCTGGCAGACTACAGTCCATGGGGTTGCAGAGTTGGACACGACTGAGCACACACAATTCAATACTTTCTCAGTAAGGCGCTTCCTAACTACTGTACTTTAAATTGCTGCCCTTCTCCTTCCATAAACCTAAGCCTCTGTTTTTACCTTATTTTTCTCCATTTTACCACCTTTTCATATACTCTGTAATTAACTTTTTCACTTTCTCTCTTTCCTTCACAGTAGAATGAAACTTTATGAAGACAGTGAATTTTTATGTTTCATGCACAATTGTATTCCCACCTCCTAGAACAGAAGGTGGCAAATAGTAGGCACTCAGTGGGTCTTCCCAGGTCACACTAATGTTAAAGAGTCGTGGTAATGGTAATGGTAGTGTCGTGCCAATGCAGGAGATGCATGTTCAGTCACTGGGTCAGGAAGATCCCCTGGAGGAGGGCATGGAAACCCACTACAGTATTCTTGCCTGGAGAATCCCATGGACAGAGGAGCCTGGCAGGCTATAATCCATAGGGTCACAAACAAACATGACTGAAGTGACTTACTACACAGCATAGGAGCTCAATAAATACTTGTTGCTGGGTTAAGTTAGGCTGTCCACACTGATGTCATTGTAAAGTTTCTGACTAATGTTTACCTTTGCAGGGAGGATGGGATATTACCAAGGATTTTAAAGCCTTTCCTTAGTATTGAAACTAAAATTAGCATATATAATCTGTATGTGTCTATAGGGACTCTATGTAGTATATTATATATATTATAATCTGTTTATACATAGGTTATATTGGTTGGGCTAATGTTGATTGGACAAATATTTCATCACTCATTCACCAGATTCCATAATGAACACAAAATAGATGGGAGCTGGTGCAATCTTTGTGTGTTATGTTGGGGCTTTAGAGTTATCCTGTGGACAGTGAAGATTTAAGGGAAGAGTTTTAAGCAGGAGATTGACCTGACCAGTCTTATGTTTTTGATAGCCTGCTTTGGTGGCTCATGAAGACCGCCTGGGAAGTTATTTTGATAGTTCCACAAGAGGTGGGAGGAGACTGTAAGTATAGGATGGAAATAAAAATGGACACACCTTAATGTTTGATTGCATGTGGGGTGAGAGAAGAGGCTGGAATGACTCCAGTGTACCAACTGTGAGGAAAAGAAGTACATGAGGAGGAGATGTTAAGTTCATTTTGGAAAGTTGAGTTTGAAGTGTCTGTGTGACATCTGGATAGAGTTATCCAGCAAGGAGTGGGTTGTGAGTCTGAGACCCAGGAGATCTGCTCGGGAGATAGAGATTTGGGAATAATTGGTTTAGAAATGTTTTTTGAAGCCATTATTCAGTGAGTGATATCCCCCCAAAATAATGTATAATATGGGGGAAAAGAGGACTAGGACATTAGAGCCTCGAGGAAATCTAACACAATCTAATCCAATTGGGCAAAAAGCACTGAGAATAAGGTAAGTAGAAAACCACACTACTTCTGTTAATCTCTCAGGTCATGGCTTAAACATCAGTTTGTCAGAGAAGCCTCAGTTGATCACCCACTTAAAAATAGGTCTCTATTGTTTTTCTCTATGAACCCTATTCTTTTTCTTTATGACTTTTATCATTGTAGAAAATTACATATTGTTTTGTGTTTTCCTTGTTTATGTTTCCCACTTCATGAGGGCAGAAACCTTTATTTTCCTATCCACAGTTTACTCAACTCCTAGCACAGTGCCTGAGATATGATAGATGCTTGATTTATGTATTAAGTAAGTGATGAAAGTGTGGGATCACAGAAGTCAATGGGTGACAATGTTTCTAGAAGGAAACAGTTTCAGATGCTGCTCCATGCAGCCCAGTAAAGTAGTAGTGATAATGGTTAGTGTTAGTAAATGAAGAAATGAAAAGTGTCCATTGTATTTTTCAGTGAGGAAGTATGGAGTGAGTTATCCACTAATGAACACTACCCCTCATGGAGCCCTTGGTCTAAAGGGGAGATAATTACAATAACCAACAGTTACTTAGTGCAGCCTTTTCATGCACTTTTCATTCAGTCCTCACTACAGATCTAAAGACACTTGTTCCTTGGAAGAAAAGCTATGACAAATCTAGACAGCATATTAAAAAGCAGACATTACTTTGCCGACAAAAGTCCGTATAGTCCAAGCTGTGGTTTTTCCCGTAGTCATGTATGGATGGGAGAGTTGGACCATAAAGAAGGCTGAATGCTGATGCTTTTGAACTGTGGTGTTGGAGAAGACTCTTGAGAGTCCCTTGGACTGCAAGGAGATCAAACCAGTCAATCCTAAAGTAAATCCACTGTGAATATTCATTAGAAGGTCTGATGCTAAAGCTGAAGCTTCAGTACTTTGACCACCTGATACAAATAGCCAGATCTTTAGAAAAGATCCTGATGCTGGGAAAGATTGAAGGCAGGAGAAGGGGATGACAAAGGACAAGATGGTTGGATGGCATCACTGTCTCAATGGACGTGAGCTTGAGCAAGCTCCGGGCGATGGTGAAGGACCGGGAAGCCTGGCATGCCGCAGTCCATAGGGTCTCAAAGAATCTAACATGACTGAGCGACTGAACAACAGCAACAAAGTATAGTTATTATTCTTAAGTTACCGATGAGGAAATAGGTTTAAGGAGATTAAGCGTTTTGCCCACAAATAGGCAGGTAGTGATTAAACAGGGCCTTTCTGACCCTAATGCACATGCTTTTACCATGCTCCAGTAGGAGAATCAGGCTGGTTCTTCATCACGGAAGTGATACCTTGAAAGTGCCATTTGAGTAGGAATGGTTTTGCTGCTGTTTATAGGACACATTAGAAGTGAGAATGACTGGAAATGAGAAATAAGATAGAGGGATCTTGCATGAATCTAGAATTAGGTATTAGCTTCTAAGCAAGAATCAAAACTGTATTTGAGAATGAAGAAAGAGGGGATGTTATAGGATCTTTGTTAATAAAGACTTGACAGGACATTGATACTGATACAAAATGAGGAGTGAAAAAGAAAAGTAAGGAATAACTACAAGATTGCAGTCCTAGAAGCTGGAGATTTTCATGACCTTTACATCTAATATGGAGAAATTAAAAATGTGCCTCTTTGGTTACATGGAATAATAAATTCACAATTAGAATTCTAGGTATTTTTATACTGAAAAGGGGATATGAAAATCTTTAGTGTTGAGAAAGAGCTAGAGACAAAGTTTTAGGACTAGAGAGAGGAAAAAGGATTTACTCAGACATTAATTAAAGCCATGTGAGAGATTCTTAGGGATCTCAACTTTACAAGCATGACTGCTAACATACAGTACTGTAGCTATTTAATAATTTTGGAATTTAAGGAAGAGTTAAAGATTTTTCCCATTTAACAAGAGTTTCCTCTCCTTTCTCAAGGGTAGATGGAGTGGAAGAGAATGAGCAGTGTATTGTTTAGCACTAGTAAAGTCTAAGGGCAGTGATGAACATAAGGCCAGAGGCAGGAATCCGAGTTTGATTAGAGATTCTATAGAGAATAGTGTTGATAGGGACAGATCAGAAGGGATCTTTAAGTGCAGTCACTAGCTGAGATAGCATGTAAGAGAGACCTGGCTGGCATGCTGGGGGAAATGACTCTGTGTTCTCTGGCATCTATACCAAGATCCTAACATAGACTAAACACTTGATCTTTGTCGCCTGACTGCATAAACACAAAGTTAGAAATATAGAATTCAAAGTTGGTAAGTACAATTCAAAATCCAAATCTAGTTAATCGCTTTAACTTTTAATTATATATGTATTATTTCTTTTTCTCTCAATATAAAACCTCAAACCTTATAAGTAAAAAGTTGCTTTAAGTCCTTTTCAAAATAGTCTTAAATAAATAAATAATTTCTGATTCTCATAGAGTAATTTTTTTGCATTTACCTGTGAAGTGATTTTTCTCTTAAAAACATCTCATCGGCTATTTAATTATTCTAGCAATATTTTCATCCTAATTGATCTCTATGGTCTTATAAAGGGTGACTAATTTTATTTTACAGGTATGGAGAAGAAAGTGTAGAAACACTAATAGCTGATGGCTCCTGTGCTTTTATATAAATGTGGATGAGTTTATGATGACTGTAATTATCCACTGAGAAAGTGCAATGTTTAGATATATTCTGACATAAAGGGAGCTTTCTATCCCCTTACGGTTGAAAAGTTCATTAGGGTAGATTTCTTATCATTTTCCTTCCTTTTTAGGTGTGAAGTTTTTCAACATGAGTGGCCTTGGGGACAGTTCATCTGACCCTGCTAACCCAGACTCACATAAGAGGAAAGGGTCGCCGTGTGACACACTGGCATCAAGGTAAGAACACTCTTTTTCTCAGTCTTATTTCTGGCAGAGCTGCTTTACCATTTTCATTGTCACTTTAGAGCTTGCTTCATCTGTGGGTTTACCGGCCTTCTCTGAGTCGCTCATACTCACCGTGTTCCTCTTCTTTCCCCAGGGCTGGTTTGCTCCCTCTAGATTTCCTGTATTCAACACCTGTGTGTTCTCCAAATATCAGTTTAGTCATTATTTTTTAAAAGGGAGCCTTCTCTTCCTTCCATAACTACTAGGTCAGACCTCCCCTATTTGTGTATGTATTTCACATGTATTTTTAGAGCTGTGATCTATAATTTCAGTGTTTTACTAGCTTGTGTACTTATTTAATGAGTTCCATGGCTTCTCTGCTGCATGCTGTGCTGCGGTAAGAACTTTGTCCTGGCTCACCGTTTTATCCGTAGTTCCCAACACAATGTGTAGCTTATATATAGTAAGGCCACAGAAAGTATTTGGCAAAGGAATAAATAAATCCACTGTACCTTTTTAAACTGCCATCTCAGTACATTATGGTATTAGTGGAACAAAGAAATAAATTGATAATATTAGGATTTTAAAGAATGGGTATTTTTGGAATTAAATATCTCTGTTTTAACAGAACATGGTCATCTGAAATAGGCAAAAGAGAGTTATTGCTGAGAAGGCTCTAATAAATGCCAGATAGAGATAGAACTTAAGTCAGATCAAAACAGCAGCTTCCTACCGGAGAGAAGAGTGGGGATTTTATTCCACTCACCTCCGAGGATCTGGAGCAAAGTCTCTCAACCTCCACACTATTGACATTGTGGACAAGATAATTCTTTGTTGTGGGAAGCTATCCTGTATGTTGTAGTATGTTTAACAGTATCCCTGGCTTCTACACGATTAGACGCCAGTAGAATTTTTATATCAGTTATGATACCAAAATGCCCTTCCAGTTTTGATAACCAAAAATGATAATCCAAACATTTTCAAATACCCCTGGGGACAGAGAAAGCAATATGGCCCCCAGCTGATAATCATTGATCAGAGTATAAAACAGCAGAAGACTCTTCTCTCATTGGATTACATGCGTTTTTCTCATGGGGCAACCAAGAAAGAATTTTTACAGGAGAGTGCCAGGGTTTCAGGCTGGGGAAAGAAAAGTGACTACTTCTGTTAATGAATTCAGAGAACTGTTACAGAGTGATGGTAACCTCAGTACTCATAATCAAGCCTGTGTTATCAGAGTTAATGTTCCTGTTTATTTCTTATAAGTCAGTCCTTCTTAATTTAAGAATAAATAAATAAAACTATTGTGTTTTAGGATTTCACTAGTAGCTCAGCTGGTAAAGAATCAACCTGCAATGCAGGAGACCCTGGTTCGATTCCTGGGTCGGGAACATCCCCTGGAGAAGGGATATGCTACCCACTCCAGTATTTTGGGGCTTCCCTGGTGGCTTAGCTGGTAAAGAATCTGCCTGCAATGCAGGAGACCTGGGTTCAGTCCCTGGGTTGGGAAGATTCCCCTGGAGAAGAGAAGAGCTACCCACTCCAGTGTTGTAGCTTGGAGAATTCCATGGACTATACCATGTGGCCACAAAGAGTCAGACATGACTGAGCGACTTACACTTTTGTGTTTTACTTGAAATTTTTATTTGGGGGGAAATTTTTAATCTATAAAAAAAATTTAGAGACTAGGAAACTACCCACCACATGTAATTGATAATATTTTGTCATATTCTTAGTATTTTGTTAATACATTATTGTATTTGCAGTTTTAAGTAAAAATAGTAAAATGGTTAATGATTAAACTGATTTGTCTCTAATTCTTTCAGTCTGTTTTTAATGATTATGTATATTTATAAGTATCCATGAACAATATAGAATATTTGTTAAATTTATGTATTATATAATACTGTATATATTTTTCTTTAGACATAAAGATACATATATTTATTCAGTTCTGTTAACTTTTGATAAATATTACATTACTTGAAATACCATATTTGAAGAATCTGTTTCCAAGTAGCTAGACATTCCCTAAGGGTAAATAGCCTTTTTGTTACAAATTTTCATTCTTAGAGCCAGCACTATAGCAAACATGAACATTCTTGTACATAGCTACTATTTTATACATAAAACTTTCGTTAGAATCTGTGTACATTTTTATGTTAACTGTGTACTTACCAGATTATTCTTCAAATGACAATCATTGAGAGTTCCTTTTTTTCTTGCATCTTTATCTCACTATTTTTCCCTCACTTTAAGTTTTTGCCATCCTGATGGGTGTGGGATTATCATTTTAAGTATATTTCCCTGATATGTAGATAAGTTGATCATGATTTTTGTTTTTATTGCTCTTTATATTTTCCCCTTCTGTGAATTACCTGGTTGTATCTCTTGCCCATATTTCTTCTGTGTAGTTTGTGCTTTCCTTTTTTTATTTGTAAGAGTTATTTTTAATTTTCTAGTTAAATTTTTACTCTTTTTTTTTTTTTTTTTTGCTTACCTTTTTCTCCCAACCTGTTGACATCCCTTAGAACCTAGGATTTTCATATGTCAAGATTTTTAGGGTCTTGTCAAGAATTTTCCCTCTATTTCAAGGCCTAAGATGTATTTTTATACATTTTCTTCTAATGTGCATTTAGAATTTTAAGTAAACAAGCATTTACTTTTGTGGGATAAAAATGTAACAACCTAAATTTTTTTTCCTATATGGAATGTCAGTGGCTATAACCATATCCATTCCCTGCTTTTGTGCTCTTACCTTCATCAGAAACCAAGTTCCTGCATAGATAGGGATCTGATCTGAGCCTTCATATGATAGTTGCCATGCTCTCTGATGGGGCAAGTCACTCTTCCTTGTTATTTTTCAAAATTGTTGTTCCTGTTCTTGGTCCTTTACTCTCCTGTACAGATTTTAGAGTCAGTTTGTTGTTTCCCTTGATTTTTTTTCCTTGCTGAGTTTTAATTAGTATTCCATTTGCTTTTTTATAAATTAAATTGGAGAGAACTGACAGCTTTATTTTGTAAATTCTAGAGTGTTGTTATTTATGAATGTAAAGGTTTCTCCTTTATTCAGTTCTTCATTGTTCTTAAATAATAGTGTATAATTTCCCCCTTTGAATGTCTAGCCCATCTTAGTTAGATATATTCCAGGGTACCATAGGATTTTTATTGCTTTTAGGAATATCATTTTGTGTATTGCATTTTCTAATTGGCAGTTATTTGTGTATAGGAATGCTAATGATTTGGGAGTTTTGATCACATATTCATCCATTGTTCTAAACTTTCTTATTTGTTTTAATGGCTTTTATCTGCAGATCATCTTTGATTTGTGTGTGTGTGTGTGTGTGTGTGTCTGTAATCACATCATGATGAATATCAAAATTTTTGTATATATACATATATTTCTCAATTGTCTTAAAAATTATTATCCTTTCACATTTGCTTTAAAAATATTAGAAAACATAGTCTTTGTCAGGTTTATAAGTATGGGCTTCAATTTTAATTAAGTAATTTTTTAAAAAATTTATTTTACTAAAATTTTGTGAGTTTGAAATTGATGAGTTTGTACATGATTACCACCTTATAATATTTCTTTTGATTTTGTTATTGTATACTGTCACTCCAAACAGATTGCAAACTAATTAATCATAAAGAGCATATGTTAGACCTCAGGGGATTGCCAGCCCTGAGGAGTACAGGAGTTCTAGCTAGGGCAGTTTCTCAGTAATTGTTTAGTGGAGTGAGACATCTCAAATATCCTTCCTGTTACCTCTCCCATTTCTTAACTCTTATAGGAGAAATAAGAATTAAAATGCCAGTCTTTAAATAGTGGGTAGCTGTGGGCAGTGTTTATTTAACATTAACAATTCAACAAGTGCTTTACTAAATATCTACTATTCAGCCAGCACCATGTGCTTGATGTTTGAAGGATATAAGTGTGAAATATGTTTCCTGTCTTCAAGGAGCTTACAAATCTAGTCATGCCATTCATTCTCTTTCTTAAACCCTTCTGGGCTCTCCTTTGCCCTGAAAATAAGTAATCGTAATCAAAGTGATGATAATAGATAATATTTGTTGAGCTAATGGTATGTGGCAGTAACTCTGCAAAACATTTCTATGTATAATATCATCTTTATTAATCCTCACAAACCCCTAGGAGGTAATTAATGTCATTATCCCTATTTTACAGATAAAGAAATGGAAGCTTAGAGAAGTTAAATTGCTGTTAAGTAACCTATCCAGGGTTACTTAGCTAGTAAATGACAGAGGAAATTTGAACTTGTGTTTGTAAGCAATTTCCTGTGCTCTTTATTATGGTGTATACAAGAGCCCTGGTGATCTGACTGGACCTCATCTCCTGCCCTTTTGTTTCTAATCATCTATAGTTCAACTATCTTGAGCTACTTATTTTTGCTCTCACTTTTACCTTTGAAAAAGCTGTTTTTTCCTTTTAGGAAACTATCTCTCCCTACCATTAGGTTTAGACATCTCATTCTCTAGATCTAGGTGCCATCTCTGTGTGCTTCTATAGTATTGTAAGTTTGTCACATAGTAGCTTTTTTGTTCTCTCACTTATTGGAGGCTACATCTGATTTACTCCTGGGTTGTCAGGACATAGTACCTGGTTATCTGGCACATGATAAAAGTGTGGGAGCATTTGTTGAAAAAGCTAATGAGGTTTAAAAAAAAAAAAAGATATGATACTTGAGAAGTTAACTTGTAGTAGCATTAACTATCATGTACATAGTATCAGTGGAAGTAAAGTGGGTTAGTGAGAGGAGAAATGTAGATGGCCCAAAGTAATGAAGCTGTCTTTTCTGTTAAGGTAGAATTTCTTTTTGTCATCTCCACCATTCCTTCAGTTTTTAACTTTATTTGAAAAAAATCTTTCTCATCTTCTCTTCTTGCTTATCAGTTATTTGATTTCATGGTGATTTTCCTAGTCTCTTTCTTAGGTCGTTTTATAGACACCTTACAATTTCATTACTTTTAGCTTCTTGCTTCCTTTATCACCTCTCTGTCTGATCCTCCCCCAATTCTATTACTTTTATTTTTCCTTTACTCAACAGTGATTTCCAGAACTTCAGTTTTACATAAAACTTAATGTTAAAAACAGATTTAGGAGTTCCACGAAATGAATCCAGTTTATTCCAGTTAGTATTTAGACCAAGAGATTTAAGCAACTCATACTTTAGACTGAGTCTACTAAGTAAACCTAGTGTCAATTAATTTCTCTAAGGTAAAATCAAATGTCCTCCAGAATATTATCAGTTTACAGAGCTGGATTCTCTAAAACCCTGTGTGTTTGTGTGTGTGTGTGTGTGTGTGTGTGTGTGTTATGTTATTTATTTTCTTCATGCCTCATTTTCAATACCTTGTGAAATTTGTCTAAATATCTCACTGTACATACTTGCCTGTGAACATTGTAAGATAAAGTCTTAATGAGTAAAATGGGATTAATTCCTTAATGAAAGATTTAAAAGTTAAAGATAGAATGTGTGATTGTTATAGTTTTAAAATTTGGTTTTATTTTGGGATGTGTACCATTTTGTAGTATTTTGTCTTATGTCGATTAAATACATTTGACCTTTGTTAACTTGGTTCTTTTCAACTTAACCATGCTGTTATATAAATGCTATTGCTTTTATAGTTTTTTTTAATTATGAAAAGTAAGTGATAGTTAATTATTGCCAGTTAAGAATTGTTTAGCAACTGGTTTTTCCCTCTTTCACTCTTTTTTTAGTACCATTTTTATATGGAGTCAAATGATTTTGATTGATGCTTATAAAACTGAGAGCTACTTGTGAGCAAATTTTCTTTCTGTATTAGTTTGATAATAGAAAAATTCACTTAAAGTAGTGCTTTATTGTCTTTGTATGTTTTAATAAAATTAAGTGCCTGATGATTTGGTTAAATAAACAAGGGATAAGAACGAGAAAACAAAAATGAACAACATTCAGTTACTACATTTGAGTGTATGTAAAATGCTAGTTGTTTGCACTGTTATCTTTATTCTCATTATTTTCCTTTAAGATAAATTGAGTTTGATTTTATTTACTATATAATGAGAGCTTATAAGCAGATTTTTTTTTCTATTTCTTTACAACAAAGCAGTATATGGGAGACATTGTTCTTTGTACCTCTGTCTCTAATTAATGATTTACTATTCTTTTTTTTTTTTTGCAGTAAACTTAATTCATATTTAATTATACATTAAGAGGCATGTTATAAATACATATGCATATGGTAAAGGTATATTCTGAAAGCTTTTGCTAGTAGGAGTTCATGGTCAAAACATTTTGAAGTTTTGAAGTTTCTACACATAATTCTAGAGATGGCAAAAGGCATAGTGACAATAACATCAGCTTTATTTATTTATTTATTTATTTTCATTTATTTTTATTAGTTGGAGGCTAATTACTTTACATCATTGCAGTGGTTTTTGTCATACATTGAAATGAATTAGCCATGGATTTACATGTATTCCCCATCCCGGTCCCCCCTCCCACCTCCCTCTCCACCCCATCCCTCTGGGTCTTCCCAGTGCACCAGGCCCGAGCACTTGTCTCATGCACCCAAGCTGGGCTGGTGATCTGCCTCACCCTAGATAATATATGTGTTTCAATGCTGTTCTCTTGAAACATCCCACCCTCGCCTTCTCCCAGAGTCCACAAGTCTGTTCTATACATCGGAGTCTCTTTTTCTGTTTTGCATATAGGGTTATCGTTACCATCTTTCTAAATTCCATATATATGTGTTAGTATACTGTAATGGTCTTTATCTTTCTGGCTTACTTCGCTCTGTATAATGGGCTCCAGTTTCATCCATCTCATTAGAACTGATTCAAATGAATTCTTTTTAATGGCTGAGTAATATTCCATGGTGTATATGTACCACAGCTTCCTCATCCATTCGTCTGCTGAGGGGCATCTAGGTTGCTTCCATGTTCTGGCTATTATAAACAGTGCTGCGATGAACATTGGGGTGCACGTGTCTCTTTCAGATCTGGTTTCCTCGGTGTGTATGCCCAGAAGTGGGATTGCTGGGTCATATGGCAGTTCTATTTCCAGCTTTTTAAGAAATCTCCACACTGTTCTCCATAGTGGCTGTACTAATTTGCATTCCCACCAACAGTGTAAGAGGGTTCCCTTTTCTCCACACCCTCTCCAGCATTTATTGCTTGTAGACTTTTGGATAGCAGCCATCCTGACTGGTGTGTAATGGTACCTCATTGTGGTTTTGATTTGCATTTCTCTGATAATGAGTGATGTTGAGCATCTTTTCATGTGTTTGTTAGCCATCTGTATGTCTTCCTCGGAGAAATGTCTGTTCAGTTCTTTGGCCCATTTTTTGATTGGGTCATTTATTTTTCTGGAGTTGAGCTGGAGGAGTTGCTTGTATATTTTTGAGATTAATCCTTTGTCTGTTGCTTCGTTTGCTATTATTTTCTCCCAATCTGAAGGCTGTCTTTTCACCTTGCCTATAGTTTCCTTTGTTGTGCAAAAGCTTTTAAGTTTCATTAGGTCCCATTTGTTTATTTTTGCTTTTGTTTCTAAAATTCTGGGATGTGGGTCATAGAGGATCCTGCTGTGATTTATGTCGGAGAGTGTTTTGCCTATGTTCTCCTTACTATTCTTTTTATTTTACTTTTTGGAAGAAAATTTTTTTTTCCTTTTGATAGGGACCAAGTAATGGTCTGATTATTATAGGAATCAAGATTTTATCAGATTTCCAATTATAATTTCTTTGAAATCTGGGTAGTCAGCCTGCTTAATTTACAACAAACTTATTTAAAAATTCAGATTTTCTATTTTTAGGGAATTATTATTTAGGATGCCTGATAATTTCAAATGCAACTAGTATATATACTGTCTGCTTCTTTTACTATCTAGTATTTACTGGTTATCTGAAAGATTCAGTGTATAAATATCATTGAGGAATACATCTGTGATAGTAGTCATTCTCTTTATGTATTTTAGCCAGAATTGTTTTCTGCTGCTTGGTATTTTGTAGTATGTTTTTCAAATACAAATTTAGATTTTTTCTAAATCTGCCTTTATATTCTAGATGAAAATAGGAATCGCTGTAAATATGTAAATATCAGATACTTCATCAGAGAAGGAAATATGGTGGTAGAAATGTACAGTAACTGGATTTTCTTTGTGTAACAGCACTGAAAAGAGGCGCAGGGAGCAAGAAAATAAATATTTGGAAGAGCTAGCTGAGTTATTGTCTGCCAACATCAGTGACATTGACAGCTTAAGTGTAAAACCAGACAAATGCAAGATATTGAAGAAGACAGTCGATCAGATACAACTAATGAAGAGAATGGAACAAGGTAGGAAAATAAACAGAAAAACCCTCTGGCTGTGGTCTTTGTTATTAAGACATTTACAATAGGTGATTTTACTTTTTATTATTAAGAAATGGAATTAATTTTGTAATTTTATTAAAGAAGCAGTTTTGGGTAGATGCTGTTTATTTTAGAATGTGAATCTGAGACCCTTCTTTTACCACAAAGTGGCTTGTTACCTTGAGAACTGGTTGCCTTGAAACTTTTGAAATCCAGTAGAGTCAGATAAAACTTAGCGACTCAACAATAGCAATCATATGGGATTAAGTCAGGAGATACACGTTGTGGTGTCGGACCCGAGGCTCTGCATAGCGTTGAAAGACAGCAGCTCGGAGGTAGGAGAGTCCCTCCACCTGAATTTAAGCTTATCTCTGCCTGGGCTGTGGCTGGGACGAACAGCCTTCTCTGAGAAAGTGAAGAAGAAGTGAAGTGAAGTCACTCAGTCGTGTCCAACTCTTTGCAACCCCAGGGATTGCAGACTGCCAGGCTCTCCATCCATGGGATTTTCCAGGCAAGAATACTGCAGTTGGTTGCCATTTCCTTCTCCAGGGAATCTTCCCAACCCAGGGATCGAACCCAGGTCTCCCACACTGCAGGCAGATTCTTTACTGTCTGAACCACCAGGGAATCTCTGAGAAAACCCTGATTTATTTTTATGGCTCATGTTTATACTATTCGTATTTACTGGGGACCCCATACCACACAACCCCTGGGTTGCTCACCAGAAACAAAGGCAAAGTGCTTTGAAGGAACATCACCATACTGTACCCCATCAGATTCCCAGAGGAAAAAGTGCTCCCGAGGGAGATTGTGTGCGATAAACTTATATAACACAAGAAATCATCTACAGTGAGTAAGAACACAAACAACAAACAGAAGGAATAGACCCTGAAGAACTTCACCCTAGCAGCAGCAATGTCAAAAGACTGAACAAATAGTCTGTTTTAAAATGGTTAAAGTGATAGGATTTTACGATTTTAGGAGCTGGGTAGTCTAGTGACCACTGATTCAGCAGACAAGAGACAGTGGTATTCTAGGTCTTCAGAGGGGAGAGCCACCCAGAGGCTGTATGGCCCCTTCCCTGCTGGATCTGGACACCCTGACAGGCTGCTCATCCTCCCTCAGCTGAAGATGGGGAAATGGAGTAGTCCAAAGGGAAGGACACACAGACACTGACACTGGTATAGGTCCCCAAATGAAAAAATCAGCTCCTTGCTTTGTCCATACCCTTCACACAGCTGCCAGTCAGGATTTTAGTGCCTTACTCTTTAACATGAATAAAAATCCAGGTATTTGAGGAAAGTCTGTAATATAAAAGAGAATAAATCAAGCAAACAAAAGGGAAAGAAAGGAACTTAGAGGAAGCAGAGATGATACCGGGAGTGAAAGAAAAATGTAAACCCATCCAACAGTCTTTCACCGACAAAAGGGAGGATATATCATCTATAAAATGCTATAAAATGAAACATTCAAAGCAAATAACTTTTGGAACTTAAAATCAGGATTGCTGAAAAAAACTTTACCCTATTACCTTGTTTTCTACTCCTTGCCTCCTCATTGTGTCGCCTGCAGCCATTCCAGGCACATGTTTGCTTCAGGTCTTTGTACTTGCTGTTCTGTCTGGAATGCTCTTCCCTGGATGTTCATAAAGCTTACTCCCGTATCCCTTTTATGTCATGGTTCAAATATTTTTTCTATGTGAACTTGTCCCTCATTAACCTATCTAACACACATACACATGTGTGTATACACACACAAACACCTTTTTACATCTTCCTTGATTTATTTTCCCCACAGTATTTGTTACATCTAACATATTATACATTTTGTTTGTTTATTGTCTGCCTACCCTCACTGGAGCTTCATGAGAGCAGAGGTTTTTGTTTGTTTACCACTGTGTCCTTAATACCTAACGCAGTTCCTGGTTACATAGTTCCTGGGTACTCACTGGGCTTTCAGTGAGTATTTGTTGAATAAAAGGATAAAGTGTTGAAAGACAATTTGAAGAAATCCCTTAGAAAGTAAGATAAAAAGGCAAGCAAAGGAAAGCAAGAGAAAGGTAAGAGGTAGAACATATCATTAGTCCCAGGGGAAGAAAAAAAACAGGCCAACTAGAGGGGAAGAAATTATAAGAAGTAATACAAAAACAAAAAAATTCTCAGAATTAGAGGATATGGGTTTCCAGATGGAAAGCATACATGTCATGTGCAGCACAATGACTAAAAAGGAAAGAAGAAGACCTTACACCAATGCACAATTTCTAGACACCAGAGAGAAAAAACAAGAAAAAGGAAAAAAAACAGGCATATACTGGATTACTTTCAGAAGGATCCAGACTTCTAAATAACAACACTGGAAATGAGATTCCTGGACCTAGAATTATGCATTCATCCAAATGAAGTATGGGTACAAAATAAAGACAATTTTCAGACATTTAAAGCCTCAAAAATGTTATCTCCTATGTACTTTTTTCAGAAATATCTGTCAAGGGCTTCCTGGCAGTTCAGTGGTTAAGGCTCTGCTTCCAATGCAGAGAGTGTGGGCTCAATCCCTGGTCAGGAAACTAAGATCCCACATGCTGCAGCCAAAAAATAAAAATTAAGACGAAATATCTATCAAGACCAAGGTAGTAAACCAAGAAAGAAAGGCATTGGATCTTAACCCAGGGAAACCGTGGAATCGTAACAGAAGAAAGGCAAAAGGAAACCAGGGGTTACGGTTGAGCAGCAGACTAAAGAAGTAGCCAGTCCCGACTGGAGTAGGCAAATAGAGGACTCCAGGAGGAATGTTTCCTTGGGGAAAAAAAATGGGGCTCATAGAAATATATGATGACTGAGCAAATTGAGAGGAACTTTTCAGTCTGGTGGAGGGTTCAGAGATGAGTTAGACTTCACAGAAAAACTAGAACATAAAACATGAGAATTGTAAATTATAGTACATACCTTGACTCATTTGTGGACTGTATGTAGCCATAGTAACATATATTAAATACTGACTGCTCTAAAAATTATTGTAACTATACTAGGAGGATGGAAAGAGGGCAAGTGTGTGTCTAGATGTTTGATGTAAGTAAATTAAGTTTTTGCTTTTTATGATAGCATGTTAATAGATTGTCTAACATGGACACAGTCAGGATATAGCAAATAATCATGTTATTGAAAAATAAAGAATGTATTAGGATACAGGCAAGGCTATTATTTCAAGAGACCCAATGTACAGTGGCTTTAACAGGATAGTCTAGGTGTGTGTCAGAGGTTCAGATTCCTTCCATCTCTTGGGCTGTGCCACTCCTAGGGTATTGCCCTTACCCATGTCAAGCATGGCTCACCTGTGCATGTCCCAGACAACAAGAAGGGGAAAGAAAACCGGAAGGTGTGCTTCTTTCTCTTTAAGGACAAGACTTAGAAACTGTGTCACTTCTGTTCGCATGCCTGAGGCTAGTCAATATAGCCACTTCAAGCCACTCCTGCCTTAAGTTTTGCCTAAAATTTTATGTTTTACTTTTCATGCATAGTTACTTAATGTACTTGGCCTTGAAAGTTTATGTTCTTTTGGAACTGTTTCTTTTTAAAAAACAAACAAACAACAACAACTTGTCTTAAGGTTACAAATACACGAAATGATGAAGGAAGTGTATCTTAGAACTAGATGAGAAACTCCCATGCTATAATAATTTCAAAATAAATAACCCAATTAAGTGAAGTTGCTCAGTCGTGTCTGACTCTTTGCAGCCCCTTGGACTGTAGCCTACCAGGCTCCTCCGTCCATGGGATTCTCCAGGCAAGAATACTGGAGTGGGTTGCCATTTCCTTCTCCAGGGAATCTTCCCAACCGAGGGATTGAACCCGGGTCTCCCGCATTGCAGGCAGACGCTTTACCCCCTGAGCCACCAGGGAAGCCCAATTAATAAATGGGCAAAGGCTCTGGATTGAAATTTCTCTAAAGAAAACATACAAATGACCAGTAAGCACAGGAAAAACATATTCTATATTAATAGCCATCAGAAAAATACAAATCAAAACCACAATACAAATACCACTTTACATTGCTAGGGTGGCTACAGTCAAAAAGACATATAGCAGCAAGTGTTGGTAAGGATGAGAGAAGTTGGAACCCTCAAACAGTGATGGTGAGAGTGTAAAATTGTGCATCCACTTTGGAAAACAGTCTAGTAGTTTCTCAAAATATTAAAAAGATAGAGTAACCATATAGCCTAGCAAGTCCACTTGCAGGTATATAACAAAGAGAATTGAAAACTTACACAGAAATGTTCATAACAGCATTTATTCATAAATAGCCAGTAAGTGGAAGCAAATTGTATATCTATCAGCTGATCAATGGGTAAATAAAATAAGGAATACCTATACATTGGAATATTATTTAGCAGTAAAAAGAGTGAAGTGCTGACAAATGCTTCAACATCGATGAATCTTGAAAACATGCTAAGCAAAAGAAGCCAGTCACAAAGGACTACATATTATATGATTCCATTTATATAAAATGTCCAAACTAGGCAAATCTGTAGAAATAGAAAGTAGATTGGTGGTTGTCTTGGGCTTGGGAATGTTGGGAAATGGGGAGTAACGGCTGAAGGGTGTGGGATTTCTTTTGGAGGTGATGAAGTGTTCTAAAATTTATTGTAATGGTGGTTGCACAACTCTGTGAATATACTAAAAACCATTGAATCGTATGTTTTAAATGCCTGAATAGTGTGTTGGGTGAATCATAGCATAATAAAGCCGTATTATAAATACTAAATGAGATAATGTTTTACGCCCATTAGGTTCCCAAAAATTAAAAACTGTGTTGATATGAAGTATCAACATAAAGAAAAACGATAACACTTGTATTTTTCTGGTAGTACAGCCTCTTTGGAGAGTAATTTGTCAAACTTAGGTAATGTTGAAGATATATAGGACCTGCGATCCAGCAATTTCACTTCTAGTATTTACCCTAAAGAAGCTGTCACAAATATGCCAAAGAGAAAATACGGAAAATAGTTTATTACAGCACTGTTCATAGTAGTCAAAAGGCCTGACAATAGGGGACAAGGAAGTCAACTGTGGGTTATTCATGCAGCAGTTCAAATGAATATATCAAATTTATAAGTATCAGTATAGTTAAATCTCAAACATAATACTGAGTGGAAAAATAAGTTGAAAAAGTCTGTGTTTTTATGTAAACATAAGACACAAAACAGTACTGCATTTGTAAGATCATACATATATAGTTGAAGTATGAAAACATGCTTAGAAATGGTTGTACTACCTTCAGAACAGGTTGCTTCTGGAAAGGGACAGAGGTGGAAAGGTGGTAGAGCTATAGTTCTGTTTGTAGCATTTTATTTATTTAAAAAAGAAAGACCTGAAGCAAATAACATTTACATCTGTGAAAAATAAATGATGGCTGTGTGCATGTAGCTATGTCACTTTATGTATTTTTTGTAGTATTTGAAATATTTCATATTTTAAAGTGAAAAATATGAATCTCTGTATACAGTAATACCATATTTGGTTTTTTGGTCAGTTAACCAGTCTGACAGATTGGAAACCTTTATATAAGTATTGTTGCTACTTTAAGACAATGGTTGGACTTTTCAACATCTCCCCACAAAAGAACTGCAAATTATTTAGCAGCTGTTGTTTTATCAGTCAGATTATCATGACATGAAGGTGAGAGTTCACGCTGGCTCACAAGAGTCATATCTTCATTCTCTCTTCAATGGCAATTGATTAGCTCAGAAAAGGAAAAAGAAAAATATAGGAATAATTATTCATTTACAATTTGCCCATTTTTATTTTTTTATTTTTATTTTTTTTTGTTTTTTTTGTTTTTTTTCATTTATTTTTATTAGTTGGAGGCTAATTACTTTACATCATTGCAGTGGTTTTTGTCATACATGAAATGAATTAGCCATGGATTTACATGTATTCCCCATCCCGGTCCCCCCCCCACCTCCCTCTCTACCCGATCCCTCTGGGTCTTCCCAGTGCACCAGGCCCGAGCACTTGTCTCATGCACCCAACCTGGGCTGGTGATCTGTTTCACCCTAGATAATATACGAGTTTCGATGCTGTTCTCTTGAAACATCCCACCCTCGCCTTCTCCCAGAGTCCACAAGTCTGTTCTATACATCGGAGTCTCTTTTTCTGTTTTGCATATAGGGTTATCGTTACCATCTTTCTAAATTCCATATATATGTGTTAGTATACTGTAATGGTCTTTATCTTTCTGGCTTACTTCGCTCTGTATAATGCAATTTGCCCATTTTTAAAAGAACTTTTGGTGTAGACTTTTTTAAAAAGTTATGTATTTATACCATTTTTTTCCATTTGTTGGAACACTGTACTTGATAGGTCAGAAAATTCAAATCTTCCTGCTGCCACTTATTAGTTGTAAGATTACTTCACCTTTGTGAACTTCCATTTTATCATCTACAAAATGAGTATAATTACAGTTAAATGTGAAAGTGCCTAGATGATGAGTAAATGTTATTTGAATCTGAAACTAGATGAATTTTTGTCTTCATAAACTTCACATTGTGGAAATGAGCTCCTTTCAGGTGTGTGACTTTTTGTTTCTTTGTTACAGAGAAATCAACAACTGATGATGAAGTACAGAAGTCAGACATCTCATCGAGCAGTCAAGGAGTGATAGAAAAGGAATCCCTGGGGCCTCTTCTTTTAGAGGTGGGTATTCTCATTGACTCAGAAAGTGATCAAATCCTTGTTCTAGCCAATCTGATTTTTTTCTTTATCTCCTTACATTTTACATCCAGTTAATAAATTATAAAACAAAGTAAAATTGTAAATAACTTTTAATGATTATTTTATCTCAGAAACTATTTTGACAGTTGTTATTATTGCAGAATCAAATGCGAGGAACGGACATGAGAAATTTTCATAAAGACATTCTAATGGTTACATAGAACACTAAAGAAAACTGTCTGGCTTTGCTGTTTCTTTACGGTAGTTAGGACTAGTTGGGAAAATAAAACTTTTGGAATTATTTAGCTAGCTAGTGCTAATTCTACTGTGCTGTGTGCTTAGTTGCTCAGTTGTGTCCGACTCTTTGTAACTCCATGGACTGTTGCCTGCCAGGCTTCTCTGTCCATGGGGATTCTCCAGGCAAGAATACTGGAGTGGGTTGCCATGCCCACTTCCAGGGGATCTTCCCAACCCAGGAATCGAACCCAGGTCTCCCAGATTGCAATTGCAGATTGCAGGAATCGAACCCAGGTCTCCCAGATTCTTTACCGCCAGAGCCACCAGAGAAGTCCAGTTCTGCTGTAGGATTTTACTTCTGAGTAAGGGGTGCCTCACTTTGTTACAGTAGGTGTTTTCTGACTAAGAATTTTTAACTATTTATGTGACCATTGTAAAGGAACTTACTATTTTAACAACTCTCTGTCACACTTTAAAAGATGAAGAACTTTTAATCTTGAATTACTTTGTAGTTACTGTGTAATTTTCACCTGTTTTTTCCTTTCTAATCTTTATCCCCTCTGTTCTCAACACAGATGTTTTGTTTCCAAGCAGGTTCATCACCTTAAGTGCTCCGTACCATGCATGAATGTTTAAAAACATACATATGTGTGTATATATACACTTATTCCCCACAAATTAGCCTTTTCTATCTCTTGGCCTAATTTTATTTTATATATATATATATATTTATTATATACACACATGTACATAGCTATAAATATGTGTATTTAAATCATACATGTATTTATATATATATATATTTTATATATATATAAAATAAATTCTTCTTTCCTGTCCCACCTCAAGGTCCTTCTTTCTGGTGAAGTCTTGCTGACATTCAGATTTGTATAGGTCTCTTGATTTTCTAACTCCTTTATACATTTTTTCCTATTACCCAAACTAATCCTCTGTTTTTGTATTAAATAGAATTCGCTCTACCAACAATACTAATTTGAGCATATTCTCAGCATTCCCTCTTTTGTCAAACTTCTTCATAATCCTCTTTTATAAAACTATCTCTTCTTCTCTCTGGCTGCTCGTTAGCCTTATTTTCTCAGGTTTCTCTTTCTTGTAGTTCAGTTCAGTTCAGTCACTCAGTCGTGTCCAACTATTTGAGACCCCATGGGCTGCAGCACGCCCTGCTTTCCTGTCCATTACCAACTGCCAGAGCTTGCTCAAACTCACGTCCATTGAGTCAGTGATGCCATTCAACCATCTCGTCCTCTGTTGTCCCCTTCTTCTCCTGCCTTCAGTCTTTCCCAGCATCAGGGTCTTTTCTTATGAATCAGTTTGTCACATCAGGTAGTCAAAGTATTGGAGCTTCAGCTTCAGCATCAGTCCTTCCAACGAATACTTAGGACTGAGTTCCTTTAGGATTGACTGGTTTGATCTCTTTGTAGTCCGAGGGACTCTCAAGAGTCTTCTCCAACACCATTGTTCAAAAGCTCAGTTTTCTTTATGGTCCAACTCTCACATCCATACATGACTACTGGAAAAACGATAGCTTTGACTCTCTTTCTTTATATGCCTCTTCAATGTTAGCTTCCCCCAGGTTCTTTTGGCTCTTTTCCTTTTGTTTTTTATTCTGTGCACATTTCCTGGACCGTTTATCGACATCTATATCTTTGTCTATATGATGTTTTCATATGTGTGTGTGTCTGTTAAAATACCAGTGAGGGCTTTCTGATTTGAAACAGCAGACATCAATTCTGACTAAGTTAAGCAAATGTGGGCTATCCTCATAGTTCAGCTTGTAAAGAATCTGCCTGCAATATGGGAGACCTGGGTTCAATCCCTGGGTTGGGAATATCCCCTTGAGAAGGGAAAGGCTACCCACTCCAGTATTCTGGCCTGGAGAATTCCAAGGACTGTATAGTCCATGGGGTTGCAAAGAGTCCAGCACAACTAAGCAACTTTCACTTTCACTTAACCAAATATGAATTCATTGGGATGCTATTTAGATACATAGAACCATGCTTAGAAATAAGGTGAGACCAAGGCATCTTGGTCTTCCTTGGTAGCTCAGTTGGTAAAGACTCCACATGCCATGCAAGAGACCCAGGTTCAATCTCTGGGTTGGGAAGATTCCCCTGGGGAAGGAAATGGCATCCCACTCCAGTATTCTTGCCTGGAAAAATCCCGTGGTCAGAGGAGCCTGGTGAACTACAGTCTGATGGGTTCACAAAAGATTTGGACACAACCTAGCAACTAAATCATCAAGGCATCTTAAGGAGGCTAGAAAACAGAAACTATACAAATAGTCTCTTTGAAAGACCCCTCTGGACAGTGCCTTGCTGCCAGAATGAATGTGTTCCAGCCATGTACATTCTGATTGTAATTGTTCTCAAGGTTCACATTTAGGGAGAAAGTTTCCCAGTGGCCTGATTAAGAATCCCATGAGACTTTATTAAATGGGGAAGAAGTAACTCCTCAAAGGAAATCAGATATTCTCTGAAAGGGGAAAAGGTAATTATAGTTAAAAACAAATAAGCAAAAAACAAATGATACGATATGTACCTGTAAGTCACACAGGTATATTTTTAGCCCAGATCTCTCTTCACAGCTTCCTTTTCATTGTATCCTATTGCCTTTTCAGCATCTCCATCAGAAAGTTCCTATTTCAAAATATAACATTCCTAAAGTTAAATTTATAATTGATCGATTCCCTTATCTCCTATTTTTTTAAAAAAAGTCAAAAAATTAAAAACTTGGTTTTTCCCCCACTTGAGTCCCCTTTGTCTAGAAAAGGCACATATCTACTAGAACCCTGAAGTCACTAATGAAGGATCACCCCTTGTGCTTTTTTCCATGGCTGCTAGAGGTCCCCAGATGCTGTTTGTTCTGCATCTGGAGATTTCTCTTCTGTCACTTCCACTGCCATTGCCTTGATCCAGGCTGGCGTTTGACCTGGAGTATCACAGTAGCATTGCAGTTTGTCTGCCTACTTCCAGTCCACATGCCACACCCACCGCCAGAAAGATCTTTGTTAAAGCAGATCATGTCACTCTCCTGCTTAAAAACACTACTTTCAAAATAATCCCCATGGCTTTTGTCGGGGGGGGGGGGGGGGTAACGGTGCCTTACTTTGAAGCTTTAAAAAAAAAAATAACTTTTTATTGTTAAGTATAACAAATATGACAAGTGTGTACAAGGTGATTTTTTTTAACCTCTGAGCTGTTTCCTCTGTTGGAATGTTCTTTCCACCCCTCATTCCCCCGAGTTATTGCTCTGTGTCCTTCAGGCCTCGGCTCTGGTGTCATTGAGCCTCCTCCCAGGAAACTTTACCCACAACAGCCATTCCTTTGCCCATTTGGGATCTGTGTGTAACCTTTGTGAACGCCTCTATTGTACTACACTGTGACTATGTGTACTTGTCTTTTTCCCTCAGAGACTATAAAATTGTTGAGAATGTGTGCTTTATTCCCAGAACTTTGTCCAGTGACTGACACTTAGTGATACTCAGGGAAGCTTGTGTAATCACTTAAAGCGAGGGCCCTGTGAGAAGCCCTGGCCAGTGTGAGCCCTGCATTGAGACTCAGGGTGGTCCTCTTCAAAGGCTGATATCCTGGGAAGAGAGAAAAACTCTTCCAACTGATGATGCTATACTGAATGGAGTGGCATTTGTTGTCATCTCCTGTGTGTAGCTCAGTGAGCCCAGCTGTGAGAACTTGGAGAAATAGGAAGATTCCTTCCCAGCAGCACACTTGAAAATTAATTATATGCACAACACATGAGGGCAACTTGTAGCATAAGAACAAGTATTAGCAGGTTATATTAATTAGATACACTCTTAGAAATTAAAAATGTTTATATATTCATAGGAATAGTTTCAAAGGATTGAAATGTTACCAATCTCTTGGGAATAGGATTTGGCAGATCTTATCCTATCTACTTAATTGTCATATTTTTTAAAATTTCAAGTACATATTTTATTTTAATTCAGAAAACAAAACAAAACAAAAAATACACATATCCAGTCGAGGATAGGCTGTCTGCATCTCAGGAGGAGGTCAGCAGAACATCTCTGCAGCCATGGGGTAGCCTTTGTCGACCAGTTTTCCAAGCCAGTCTTTTCTGGGGAAGCTCAAAAGAAACATGATGCCCCAGACTTCTTAGAGGAAATGATGAGTCCATGTAACCGAGGCCAAGCAGGGACCTGGTGAAAGTTCTGTATTCTCTGCAAGGCTGACCAACTGCATATTCCAGCGGCCAGCTACTAGAATAACTTCCCAGCTTGGCAGTGAGGTCAGGTGCAGTCAATGGGCGAGCCTGGAGAAGTCCCAGAAAATGTGAAAGCAGGAGCCTGCAGGGACTACAGATCTATTGCAAGGAAGGAGAGCTTTTAAGTCCTTTGGGTTTCACACATGTCTTAAAAATAATTGCACTGTGTAGTCCAGGTGAATCTGTCTGGACCTTGCTAGTGCTTGAGGTTTGTCTGCACACCACCCCTGTGCCCACAACTGGCCAGTCTTCAGAGTGGGCAGAGATGACCCCAGGAGTGGGTCTCAGTCTCTCCCAGCCCTGCTGCAGACAAAGGGTAATAACTTCCAGACCTAGAGACAGATATGGAGAGTGAAAAAAGCAAGGGAGAAGCTGAGTGACTTTGAAGTTAGACAGGGTCGCTAGGGAGGCAGTGTCCTAGAAGGACATCCTGGAAGCTAGATAGAAAAATTAAAAGGTAGTGATTTGGAAGCTGGGTAGTATGCCCCTTGGAAGTGATTCACCATGAAATAGCCATGTTTTTTTTACTTGCCTGCTTTGTATATCAATCCTATTTCTTGCTCTGAGATACTTTGTTGTACTTGTGCATGCGTGTGTGCTCAGTCGTGTCCGATTCTTTGTGACCCCTTGTACCATAGGCTGCCAAGCTCCTGTCTTCATGGAATTTTTCAGGCAAGAATTCTGGAGTGGGTTGGCATTTCCTCCTCCAGAGGATCTTTCTTTGATCCCTTTGACCCAGGTATCAAACCTGCATCTTCTGCACTTCCCGCATTGGCAGGCAGGTTCTTTATCACTGTGTGTCCTGGGATGCCCAAACTGTTTTTTATTAAACTCTTCTAAGAGACCAAAAAGGAAAAAAAAAAAAAGTTAAATTGTATTTACACTGATTCAGTTAATAGCTATGAACATTTTAAAAAATCTTTTAGATCTTCTAAGAAAATGATATGTTCGTATTTCAGTTATCCCTATTTTCACATTAACTTTTAGAAAAAATACATATATTGATCACCTTTTAAGATCTACTCTCATCTTAATTTGTAGATCTAATCTATAGCTACTCTGACTTTAAGAAAACAATTGTATATGAGAGTGCCTTCTTGTGCTCATCTAAATCCAAAATAGATTAGTGAAAGGTTTGTCTAGTGTTGAGGTTTTTAGATTATTAATCACATCCCTTTCCTCTTCACATTATGAACTAAGTGAAAAATAGTCACAATAGTCAGGTGGCATAAAAATAGTTTTATTTCTTTTTATTCTTGTTAAAGAAGATATTAGTATTTTTCATGAGAACTATGCTGGACTTCATTATTTTTTAAAATCTTGATTGAATGCTTTGGAATGCAGTGATTTTAAGATGTAGTTTCAAGTTCAGTTTATTTGAATATTTGGCTTAAATAATCACGTGAAAATTCAAGACACCTCATAAAAGTGAGGTAGATGCAAATGGAAAAATGTATCATTGGATGAGTTTCTGAGTCACGTTACTCATTTTGCAATCCTACCTACCAATTATGTAAGTTTTTCTTCAAATTTCATCTTTTTTTTTTGGCCACACTGTGCAGCTTGAGGCATCTTCATCGAGGCTTGAACCCAGGCCCCAGCAGTGAAAGTGCTGAGTCCTAACCACTAGACTAGCAAGGAATTCCCTAAATTCCACTTTTTTTTTTATCTCAAATAGTGATTCTCCAAATTAATCAGAAGGTGTTGCATTTTCCTTTTTTTAAAAATGGGTTTTTAAAGCCCACCAAACCTGGAAGACTTTGAGCAGTGAAACTTTTGTTTCTAAATGTTTAAACTGAGAAGATAATTTTTATAAGTGATTTACATCATTTTCAGCAACAAAAAGATAACTGTGGTAACATTTCAAAACATCCATTTTCACTGTCTCTCTAACGTGTCTTTTTGAAAGCAGTTTATTTTCATTGTTAAAATTTCATCTTTACCCTGAAGGAACAAAATTAAGTGTGTCTATTATTTGGAAAATACCTGCTGGGTAGGGTATTATCATTACCATGCATCATCATAGAAAAGGTCAGCAAACTTGGGACACTTAACCTTTTTTAAAAAAAGAAAAATGAGTAGCTCATCAACATTGTTAGACAGCTTTGTTAAGTGTTTTGCCACAAGTAACCAGCAAATCATGTGTAATACCAAGGGTGGTTACGTCTTGTTACAAAATTCTGTGTATGTCCTGCTTTTTAAAGGACTTGTTTTTGTTGCTTTTGTACATTCTATAACAAGTAAACTGCAACATGTTGCAGTAAACAGAAGGATTATAAATAAGGTACCACTGTCATCTTTTCCATTCTGGATCCTCTCTCAGATTCTGATATGGACTGAGTGAGGCACCAGGGTGTCGATATGTTAATAACGCTTACTTTCCTCCTTATGTTTTAGATTTTACTATAAATAGAGATTCTGACTTTTTTGCCGCACCTCTGCGGATATTATGTTCCCCTTGGGGCATATACATCTTTTGGAGCTCCTGGGCTCCGTCTCTGTGCATAGGAGCCCTGTGTGACTTGGCTCCTGTCCACCTCTCCAGACTCACTGCCTGTCTTGTGCCATGTGCTCCAGCAGCTCCAAACTGCTTTTCTGTTCCATTGTGTGCCATGCTCTCTCCTCTGCTTAGAATGTTCTTCCCTCATTCCTCTTCCCCTCCTCCACTGTGCCTTTTATAATTCAGATCAGGGCCTGTAAGGAGCCTTTTTCTGCCTCCCACCTTGACCCCAAATAAGCATCCTTCTTTATGCTCACAGAATAGTCTGTGTTTGTCTTTCATACTGCGTTTCTCACTGGCATTTTATTAGGCTTATGTCTCTCCACTGTACCACAGGTTCCTTGAGGGTAGACACCAGGTCTTAACCCACAGTTTAGAGATGTTTATGACTGAATGGGTCAGTCGCTTACTTCACATTACTGCCATAAAATTTCTTTCTAAGGAAGAAGTTTGGCATATTCATTCATGCCTACATGAAACATAAGTGTACAGTCTGTTTTTAAATCCTGTTCCCTCCACAGAGAACGTGCAATATTAAATCTTCTATTCAGTACCCTTTTTTTTTTTAACATGACACATATTTCCAATCTCTTTTTCTTTTTTTCCAATCTCTTTTTCAATAGAGAAACATTTGTGTATTTTTCTTCTCTCTTCTAACCTCATAACCTCTTCATCCTTTTTTTTTTTCTTTACAGGCTTTGGATGGATTTTTCTTTGTTGTGAACTGTGAAGGGAGGATTGTATTTGTGTCAGAAAATGTGACCAGCTACTTGGGTTACAATCAGGAGGAATTAATGAATACCAGTGTCTACAGCATACTGCATGTGGGTGATCATGCAGAATTTGTGAAGAATCTGCTACCAAAATCATTAGGTAAAAGGAGTGTGTTTTTTTTTAAAGAATATGAGCTCTCTGTCGCTTCCCCTCAATAAAGTATAATTATTATTATGTTTATAATATATGGTATTATTCTATGTCATACATATTTAAAATATTTTAAAATTTAATTTCAGCCTGAGATTAAATATGAAGGAGGAACATCATCAAATAGCTGATAGAGAACATTCCTTTTATCCTCTTCCTCTAGATTTTTCCATAATTCTGTGACAGAGTTAGGAAGCAGAACAGTTAGTCGTCTTGCCACAAGAAGCTTCCACTTGGAATTCCTTTTGTTTTGAATTTTAATTATGTCTAAGGAAGAGACAAATGTGTGTAATTTATCCTACCACCTTGCTCAGAGAAAAGAAAAAAGGAAGGAGGGTGGAAGGAATGCTGTTCATATTACATACTTATTAAAATGAACATTTTTTGATGTAAGTGGTTTCAACTCAGGAGTTCCAAGCATGGTTGGAGTTCCATCCAATGGTTGGACGGGCAGTTCACTGCCAGAGGAGGCTAGCGAGAGGATAGATAGAGCTGACTTCCAGCCTGTGTTCTATTCACTAAGCCATGTACCTGCTCCTTAACCTGTAGGCACTCCAGAAGTTGGGGGGAGAGTCTTGGCTAGAAATCCTGTATAAGTAAATCAAATATGAAAATAAAATCTTATCCATAGCTCTTTGTTTTCTATGTTGTTCACTTGATGAAATGGAAGTGTTATTTCTTCTTTGAAAAGATAATATGTTTACTGGCAGCCTGAAATGATTGTTACTGTTAAAATCACTAGTTTGACACTTGAATTATCAAGGGGTCTTAATGTAGAGTGTGAGTGACTTGAGACATAATATAGTGGATTCCTTTATTTTAAAGATGAGGCAAAGATTAAGTTTTTAACCCAAAGCTCACAACTAGTTAGAAGAACCAAGACTTCTTACTCCAGTATAGGTTTGTTTCCGTGATTTCCTCTAACTGCTGTAGAGTGATGAGATCATAAAAAGGAAAGAGATTCAACAGCGAGGCTATGGTAAGAAAACTGTTGGGAATGGTGAGAGAACAGCCTGAAAAACCCTGTCTGTCACCATGGCTTGAATATAATATTGTAACTGGGAAGTAGTGACTCGCTACACAGGGATTCTCACTTGACATGTATAGATATCTGCTCTACAATGGAATTCAGTTTTCTTACACTGAATCCAGTAACATTTCTGTTTTAGCAATCATTTTAATGAAGTAAAATGATTATCTGCTATATTTAAGGCATTGTAGCATGCAGATTGTGCAAATAAAATAAAGAGCAAGAAAAAATGATTTAAAAAACCAAGGTTGGTCTCTTGTCTAAATTTTTTTTTTTTTGAGTGACAGGCTCATTTGAAAAACTTTGATTCCTCCAACCAGAAGGAGGAACATACAACATACTCTCAAGCCATCCCTTAAGCAGCCTTGCCTTCCAGGTTAAAATTCTTGCTTAGTAACAGATCTCTGATTGTCAATCCTTTTTTTTTCCAATGCCAGGGTATAGCAGGAAGCAAGTGGAAAAGCTTATTAACTAACTGCTATAAAATTCTGAGCAAAAAAGCAAGAAGCTATTAATTTTTAATTTTCTTTATCTGTTAACGAATTAGGGTATTTGTAAGGCCTTATCTTTGAGGGAAGAAATCCTATACAGTTTCTTGCAAATTTTACATTTCTCTAATTGGTAAAAGAATTAGATTTGCAAAGGAAAGTTAAGTCTCTTTTTGCCTCAGGATAGTGTTAGATCTGAAGGGGTCTGTCTTTTAATCTGAGTATCTAATTAAGCAGATGAATAAAGGTGTGTCATTTGTATCTTCAGAGTTTGTACCTTTTCATCTCCTTCACAGGCATATAATCAATTTTTCTTTCACAGTGAATGGAGTTCCTTGGCCTCAAGAGGCAACACGCCGAAACAGCCATACCTTTAACTGCAGGATGCTAATTCACCGTCCAGATGAGCCTGGCCCCGAGAACCAGGAAGCTTGCCAGCGGTATGAAGTGATGCAGTGTTTCACTGTGTCACAGCCGAAATCGATTCAGGAGGATGGAGAAGGTAAAACAGAGGGTGGTTTTAAGGTGTTCGATCGCTTTTCCCGTGGTTTTAGAAACAGAGAGGAAATTGATTATAAACTGCCTTCTTCAGATAATATTTTTGGTTATGATATTATATATCTTAGTGGCTCTTCAATTTGCTATATATCTCTTAATACTTAAGAAAAAAATTGTTAACACCTAGAACTACCCCCCTTTAAAATACCCCCAAATTCTCAGTTGTAGCTGACATTCCCACTAAAATGTCACATTCAAACCAACTTGCTGCCTAGCAATAAGAGCTGTAACTCACTGCTGCCAGTTGGAAATGTACCAGATGCAGCAGGCTGTTGAACAGCTCTGATTTTTAGAAAGTTTCAAGCTTAGCATGTATGGAACACTGGAGGATAGAGCTAGCACTTTTGAGGCCATACAAGGTAATTTATAAGGAGAAAGCTTAGGAGCAGATGAAAACACAGCTGAAGCTCTAATGGGAACAGGCTATGAACATGGTATTAGTTAAATACGTTTCAGTGGATGAATTTTCCATGCATGCTTAAACTGAACTAAGTTAAGAATACCACAAATTGGTGGAGTAAAGAACAGGGAAGGAAGCTGTGGAGAAGTCAGTCAGATGCAAAAAGGCTTGTCTGTAGTGGGTCCTACCAGGGAAAGGGTACAACAGTCAGCTGGGGACTTCTTATAGAATATACATGCAGGCCTGTCTTATATGATTCAAATTCATGTTTAGCTGTATGATACTGTGTGCAGCCTCTCACAAAAATGGAAATGGGACATTCAAAAAAATTATAGGTCCTTGGAACATAAAAGTCTTCTGTCAAGGGCAAAATAATGCTTCTTCAGAAACAGTTAAATGTTTTTTTTCATATGATAGTTTGTGATCTGCTCAGTGGTTATAGGAATAATCTTTGTAGCCATTAATGAGTATAGGAAATTATGAACCTGTATTTTAAAAACCACTGTGTTGCTTGAATCTAGCCCAAACTACTTCAGATTGTTATCCCTCAAGTACTTGAGATGCTTCGGTCTCCTCTAGTTTACGTAGGAGCATTCAGTGGGAAGGGATAATTGATTCCAACTAGACCTCTTTCTGGAGCTGCTAGTGTTTGGTTGCAAGTAATTTTAATTCTAATGTTATACTGTTAGATCAGAGTCACTCCAACATTGTGTCAGATCTTACAACATGTATTGTTTTTACAAAAACTGTTAATGGCAGGTAATAGATGTGAACCACCTTCTGTCCTCTTTTCCTTCAATTTCCCCTTCTTGTTTTGGGCAGATTTCCAGTCATGTTTGATTTGTATTGCACGGCGGTTACCTCGGCCTCCAGCTATTACGGGTGTAGAATCCTTTATGACCAAGCAAGATACTACAGGTACTAGCTGCAAAGTTCAGAATGTTCTTTCAGCATTAATGAATGTGACTTATCCCCTTAAACTAATTGTGTCCCTCTCTTCTCTTGCTGTTCAGCTGCTGTTCACTAGCCCTCTACAGAAAACATTTCAGATGTGGTCTTGATATTGTGCATTTTAGATACTGTCATCATTGTTATGGGAGGGTGCTAGAGAAGAAATTATTTTATAATTATTCACATATCTCTATTTGTTTATAAATTATTTCTTCAAATTCATGAAAAGAAATTGGCAGTGTCAATATTAATATATTTGCTTACAAGTAGATACAAAAGGGTGGTTTTGATATTGTGCATAAATGTATCTGACTTTCTTTTTTCCTTTATTCTTTTCCTTTAAATGGATTCAGCACATACTAATCGAATGCCTGAAAGTGCCTGTTATATGTATGATTGCTCTGGGTATACATGGTTGAGCAAAAAGCAATGATACGATTACAGATTAGTACTTTTTTGATGGGAAGGTGTAAGTGGTATAAGAGAAGCTAATAGGGAGGTCCTGTTTTAAAAATCAGCTGGTTAACAGAAAGCTTGTCAAACTGATACCACACAATTAAGCCCCAAAGAATGAGATTATGCCAACTGTGCCAGTAAGAGTGTGGGAAGGGTGCACTGAAGAAGGGTCATGGTGCAGAATGAGTGCTCCTGATTGAGGAAACAGAGCTGCAGAAAGTTCTAACAGAGACATCTGTTAGAACTGAAAGGAGGACAGGAGGCAGCCACACAGTGAGTGAGTGCCTGAAAATAAGCCCTTCTTTTTAAAGGCCTACTTCAGATTTGATTTTCAGCAAAAACAAATAGTTACTGTTGTTTAATATAAAGAATTTCTCATATGTTGTTTAATATATTTTTTAAAATTTTTAATTAAAAAAGTTTTTTTGGCTCTCCCTCGTGGCATGCTCAGGATCTTAGTTCCCCCACTTGTGATCAAGCCTGCACACACACACCACCCCACCACCCCACCCCACCCCCACCCCGCATGGAGTCTTAACCACCAGACCATCAGGGAATTCCCCTATATTGTTTAATCCTATCTTCACTTAGGTTTTCATCAATGAGAATTGTATATGTATCACTCACCACTCTAGTTTTAAAATAGAGACAGATAATACAGATAGGTTTTTATAGCAGACCAAGATTTTAAAAATCATTTCTACTAAATTTTATTCTTTGTGAGTGTTTACTTTTTTACTTTACCATTGTTTATAAGATCCTCTTACAATATTAATGTTTTAGCCCCAGAAATCTAATACTCCTATGTTGTATGCTTTATTCTTGGATTTTAAAGATAAACTCCCAACTGCTCTCACTAAAGAGTAGTAGGTTAGGATACATTGGCACAGACAATAGAATATAGCAAAGAGAGAGTCTGGGAGCTCAGATATACACCATCTAAGTGTAGTAATGATCAATTTGCATACCTTTCCTTTCCCTTTTTGAGTCTAGCATGCATGTGTTACTTTCTACCAGTGAACAACACTGGAAAAATTTAATAAACCCTTACTGAAAAACCAAAAATATTGCGTGAAGGAAAAATAGGGTCTGTTAAAAAATATAGCTGGTCTTTTGTGTCAGTAAAACCAAAGAGGGCTTGAGAGTTAGCAGAATAAAAACCTATTGGAAAGGGGTGATGGTTAGTCCACAGAATAAATGTGGAAGACAAGGGAGTCCTAAAAATTATGAGGATAATTTAGGAACAATATAGTTCAGCTTTTCTTCAATTGTATTTCTATAAACTGAATCCTAAATTAGATTGTTTTAAAGAAGACTGTATTTTTCCATAGGAACAATGATATAACTGGTAGTTTTGTTTCTGACCAAGAACCCAGCATTAAAATCCTAATATGCCTGATTTTAGAATAAATCTGTAAAAATTTAAAAGCTCTGAATCATGAAGTAATTATAAATCTGGAGGAAACCTCGGAGATTATAGAATCCAGCCTGTCCATTTTACCCATGAGGGAATGGTAACTTTTCTAAAACCAGGCAACTAATGACTGAGAACAGATATCTTTAGGCCCTAAAATAGGATTCTTTCTTTATATTGTGTTTTCTTCCACCAATGCACTATTAAAAGGGCATTACCGTACTGTATACAATTACCACACAAAAAATACCAGAGAAAATATAAAGTATAAAGAAAATATAAAGATGCCAAAATAATATGAAGTATTATTAAAATATAAAATCAGCATTATATCATGGGATTAATTTAGATAAAAAATCATAAACTAGTTATAAAAAGTTTTAGTTTCCTTAAATTTTAGTAGTACTTCCAACTCTACATGAAGTGGTTCTTGTCCCTTAAAAAAATAAGTTTTCTCCCTGGAAATGTTGAACCGTGGTTTGGTTGGTTGGTTAGTTAAACTTTGCTCTAGCAAGCAGAAGTATTCTAATACTCATCACATTATTAATCATTTGTTACTGTTATTGATAATTTAATTACTTTTTACCCTCCAGTTCCACAATTACAGGCTTCCTTGCTCTCATGTGGCCTAATACTGAACTTGTACACATAAGCACAAGCACACAGGCCTCCCTTTGTCACTGCATATGAGGAGCATTATTACATTTGAAGATTATATAACAGTGGATTCTCTGCTATAACCAATTCTTAGTCCCTGATGTGATGAGACAAAAACTGAATGACTGAAACTCTTAGGAAGTCCAAAATTATCTATAGTTTCAATCACAGTCTTCACCAGGCTGTCCCCAAACTGTTCTAAAATAACAAGAATTCCCTCATTTAAATTTTGATTTATTTTCTTTCTACATTTATGCCAAGACTTGGGTGACAACCTGATCTGACATACTTGGGTATATTAGATTCTAGACCCTACTTTATAGAGGTCTAATAAATATTTTATTTCTAAACAAACCAAGAGAAATATGTAAAGAAGGGATTAAAGAGGCACAAACAGTACAATAGGTTTGAGTTGATTGTGTGAAAAAAGGGAAGATGAAGAGAAGCAACAAGGCGTTCACAGAAGAGGAAACTTGAGAGGTGAATAAACATGAAAAATATTCAACCTTATTAATCAGGGAAATACAAAAGTTAGACCATAACCATTTTTCACCTGCTAATTATAAAAAATAAAGAAGCCCAACAAAACCAAGTGATGGAGAGGATGTTGGATTAACTCTTATAAAAGTTTCTGGGTTTAAAAAAAATAAAAAATAAAAGTTTCTGGGAGACAGTTTAATATAAAATTGAACATTCGTGTAACCTATGACTCAACAGTTCTATTCCTACTTATATACCTCATGCACTATGGAAAATGTGAAAGATATTCATAGCAGTATTGATTGTAATGACAAAAAACTGGAAACAGCCTAGATTGACAGGAGAATATAAAGACAGAGGGATGTGACAAGTGTGGAATACACACTTAATGGAATGATATTGATGATCTTGGTAATATGTAATATTCAAGTTCTGAAATTGGATGAGGCTTTTTAGGTCTCACCTTAATAATCTTAACACACATACACATATATGTGTATATCTCCGTATATTATCTTATATGGATACAAGATTTATAGAAAATAAAACTGATCTGAAAAATCACCAACTGGATTAAATGGCCCCTAATTAAGGAATAATTTGCCTGAATTCTTCCATAATCATTCAGGAAACTTGTTTAAATGTGATAACAGTATCAAATCACCACTAAATTTTATAAAGCACATGTTCTGTTTGCAGATAGGCTAGCAGATCTTAATGTTCTCACTTATCTTTTTCTGATTTAGCTTTTTTTGCCTTCAGTCTTTGTTTACTCTTAAGTGCAGTATCGTCTACAGCTCAAGAGGAGGTAGAAAAGGAAGGACTTGCTTACTTTCTTATAGTCTCTTCACTTAATTACTGGAACCAAAATAATATAGTTCATCTCTGCCTCTCCATCCACAATAAGTCATTAGTATATAGATAGCAGGATCCAAAGAGCAACCCAGAAAAGTTTGACCTACATTAGTATCCATAGCTTTGGGTCTTTATGGTATGACTTTAATACTTGATTGGTATTGAATTTTATGATATGATACAACACACTCCAAGGCCAAAGCAATTTTGTATTTTCATGTCATTGATATAGTCTGTTACTGAATGTAATAAAAATTAATAGTGCTTTTTAGTGCTTTTGTCCATTAAGCATTTGAGAGGCAGCAGAATATTTTAGATACACTTGTTAGTCTTGAAATGTGAATGACGTATCTGGAGGTTATCATACATGTAACCTTTCATTCTTTATATAGGTAAAATCATCTCTATTGATACTAGTTCCCTGAGAGCTGCTGGCAGAACTGGCTGGGAAGATTTAGTGAGAAAGTGCATTTATGCTTTTTTCCAACCTCAAGGCAGAGAGCCATCTTATGCCAGACAACTATTTCAAGAAGGTAAGGTTTTTTTTCTCTCAGCTATTTTCATTAACCTTACTCTTTATTAATATTGAATAACATATACAATCTATGGGTTGATAAGTATTTTCTTATCAAGTATTGTAAATTAGTTTTTGCAGTAATCCGTTTTAGGAAAGGAAGAAATGGGTAAGCAAAGTAATTCATGAGTGGATACTGAATTTTGGGATGCACATTTTAAAGAACAGGGTATCATGTGGTGGTCACTCATTCATTCATTCATTCATTCATTCAGCAGATATGTATCAAGTTCTTCACATACATAGAACACTATGTAAGGTGCCAGGGATACAAGGATAACAAAGCAGGGTTTTGGCTTCCAGGAGCTCAAAATCTTATGTATTGGGAGGATATATGACTGTTTTAAAGATCTCTGTGGCCTGGGCCATAATAATAAGGATGAAACCAAAGAAGAAAAAAATTAATTCTGACTTGAGAATCAGGGATGGCTTTAGAGAGGAAGTGCTATTTTTGTCTGGCTTTTAGAAAATCACTCCCAGCAGAACGGGCATGTCAAGGGGCTTTTATATAATACAGATCTATATCATGCATGTAGATCTGTACTTCCTGACCATTACAGTACCAGTATCTCCTGACTCACATGGGAGTTTCAAGTTAAAATTATGTCATATGAAATTATTAATTAATATTTGAACAACTGCTATGTCATAGTAAATACTATGGGAATATGAAATAAGCGTATTCCCACCCTTAAGGAACTTAACAGTATTTTAGGAAAGATAGGGAAAATTAGCTGAGAGCTAAGGCCAGAAAATTTATAAAGATTCAAAGATAAGGAGTTTTGATATATTTTAAAATATTGTCATGTAATTATGGGAGCCTAATATACCTTTCCCATTGTAATTTATTCTCTAATCTCTAAGTAAATAATTTCTCTGGGAAAAAACTCTTTGTATGGCTATTCCTGAAAAACAATTTAAAAAATATTTTTCATTATTCCATCACTTTTCTTAATTTTAACATTTTCCTGTTATATTAGGTTTCTTCAGTTTACAAATGATTTTTCATTCATTACATTTCAGGTCAGCTGCTTCCTAATGGTATGTGAAGGAAGCAACGTGATTTTTTTTTTTCAGAAAGCCATCTGTATGAGTCTCACTAGCCTGTCTACTTCTGGAACAGCTTTGTACAGACTAACGGTTCTTCAGTGGGCCTCTTACTTTTACCATCCCCAAAGATAGTGTTTCAATGGATATGACCAAGAAGTTCTCCAGGCAGTCCTAAAGTACAGTCAAGTTTGGGAACAATTACAGAAAGCAACTATTGCCATCCACTGGTTGCAAACTTTGTGACTCCCTCTATCTATAGCACTTGACTTTTGTGTAAGTAGGAGATTGAGAGCACTGCCTCCACTTACTCCCTCAAGTGCTGAGGTATATGGTTCTCTTCTGTTTGATTTTTACCTTAACTTTATAAGTTAAACCTTCCAAGGCTTACTTAAAAGACTTTTAGTTTTACTTGCCTATAATTTGTATACATTATGACCAAGGCAAAGCAGGTCTAGATTATTGTCTCATTGTCCAAATACCTAGGCTTCCCATACATGTGATTGAGCCATGGTTTAAAGCATGTGTTTCTAAACCATTGGAATTCTTTCATAAAATAGATTGATTAAAGTGTAATAAGTAATCATTAACATATGAAGTGAAGCAATTTAGAGAGAAATGTAAAGAAATATAATTCAATACCTCTTCTCATTAGTCATGTCTTAGTGTCCTTCTACTTTTTTAAGAAAAGAAAAATTTCTCAATAGAAATAACTCTTTTCTTAGAGTTAAATTCACATGACTCTGACTCTAGTGTTGTGGAGATTCTGGACAACTTGCCAAATAGCATTTATGAATTGAGTGCATCTTTTTCTTATATGTTGTATTCAGCAGTATCTAACCTGGTAAGAAAAATGTGGTCCATGAAACAGTTACATGGGAATCACCTGTTAAAGATGTTGACCTACTGAATTAAAATCTCAGGTGAGAGCCCACATATTTTTAACAAGCTCTGAAGGTGATGCTCAAGTACATCAAGTTGGAGAACTACTGGTCTACTAAGAATGGAGAGAGATGTAAATAGCCTTTGGAATTTCCTTGCTGCCTTTCCACTAGGGATAGTAGCTAATTAATAGCTCTTTAATGGCATGATATTATGCCACTGTATTCTTGATTTTCTGTAAAACTTTTAAAATGTAAAACCTCTATCAGTACAGTTCAGCTGCTCAATCGTGTCCGACTCTTTGCAACCCCATGAACTGCAGCACGCTAGGCCTCCCTGTCCATCACCAACTCCCGGAGTTTACCCAAACTCATGTCCATTGAGTTGGTGATGCCATCTAACCATCTCATCCTCTGTCGTCCCCTTCTCCTCCTGCCCTCAATCCTTCCCAACGTCAGGGTCTTTTCAGATGAGTCAGTTCTTCGCATCAGGTGGCCAAGGTGTTAGAGTTTCAGCTTCAACATCAGTCCTTCCAATGAACACCCAGGACTGATCTCCTTTAGGATGCACTGGTTGCATCTCCTTGCAGTCCAAGGGACTCTCAAGAGTCTTCTCCAACACCACAGTTCAAAAGCATCAATTCTTCTGCGCTCAGCTTTCTTTATAGTCCAACTCTCACATCCATACATGACTACTGGAAAAACCATAGCCTTGACTAGACGGACCTTTGTTGACAAAGTAATGTCTCTGCTTTCTAATATGCTATCTAGGTTGGTCATAACTTTCCTTCCAAGGAGTAAGTGTCTTTTAATTTCATGGCTGCAATCAATCACCATCTGCAGTGATTTTGGAGCCCCCCAAAATTAAGTCAGCCACTGTGTCCACTGTTTCCCCATCTATTTGCCATGAAGTGATGGGACCAGATGCCATGATCTTAGTTTTCTGAATGTTGAGCTTTAAGTCAACTTTTTCACTCTCCTCTTTCAATTTCATCAGGAGGCTCTTTAGTTCTTCTTCACTTTCTGCCATAATGGTGCTGTCATCTGCATATCTGATATTCAGGCAAGAAAATTTGTCCTCCATCTGTCTTTTTTCCTGCCTTTAACTTAATTTTTAAAGGCAGCAGCTGGTATAAAATCCTAATATGTATTAAAAACCTTAGTTTTCAGCTGTTTTTGACAGGAACAGCTCGCAGACTTCTTTTTTTTTTTTTTCCATTTATTTTTATTAGTTGGAGGCTAATTACTTTACATCATTGCAGTGGTTTTTGTCATACATTGAAATGAATTAGCCATGGATTTACATGTATTCCCCATCCCGGTCCCCCCTCCCACCTCCCTCTCCACCCCATCCCTCTGGGTCTTCCCAGTGCACCAGGCCCGAGCACTTGTCTCATGCACCCAACCTGGGCTGGTGATCTGCCTCACCCTAGATAATATACGTGTTTCGATGCTGTTCTCTTGAAACATCCCACCCTCGCCTTCTCCCAGAGTCCACAAGTCTGTTCTATACATCGGAGTCTCTTTTTCTGTTTTGCATATAGGGTTATCGTTACCATCTTTCTAAATTCCATATATATGTGTTAGTATACTGTAATGGTCTTTATCTTTCTGGCTTACTTCGCTCTGTATAATGGGCTCCAGTTTCATCCATCTCATTAGAACTGATTCAAATGAATTCTTTTTAATGGCTGAGTAATATTCCATGGTGTATATGTACCACAGCTTCCTCATCCATTCGTCTGCTGATGGGCATCTAGGTTGCTTCCATGTCCTGGCTATTATAAACAGTGCTGTGATGAACATTCGCAGACTTCTTTTAAAGAGTGCTGACCATTTTATTTTCTAGAATCAAAAATTGAAAACACACTCAGCGAAACAGTGTGTGGGAGCTTGCAGCATAAACTATTATCAAAGGAGCGGCTTACCACTGAGACTGGGAGGTGAGGGGGTGCGGTGTGGCACCAGGATCACCTGAGGAACTTCCTAAACTGGGAGGAAGTTCATATAGCTATATAGTTTCGAAAAGCTTCCTAAGTTCAGTTCAATTCAGAATCATTCTTTTAGAAAAAAGTCTAGGTTAAATGCTTCCCTAAGGTGCCTGATAACATTCATTTGGGACAGTTGTTAAACCAGATTTCTAGGTTCTTTGAAGAGTTTCTGGGGTGTCAGTAATAACCACATCAGTAACATCCCTCCTCACTAAGTGTTCTAAAACTTTTAGAAATAGACGCAGGGGTCAAGGATCAAAACCTCACAAAGCTAAGTCAGAAAACAAGATCAGAATCTGTGATCAAATGAAATTCCAAATAGTTTTGTCCATGCCTCAGTCTTGCTTATGGAGAAAATTTGGCATGTAGAGCAATCCTTTAAACAATCAGTCCTGTAAAAATTACGGTTCTCATTGTTGTTCAGTTGCTAAGACATGTTCAACTCTTTGTGACCCCTTGGGCTACAAAACACCAGGACTCCCAAGTCCTTCACTCTTTCCTGGAGTTTGCTCAAACTTACGTCCTTTGTATCGATATGCCATCCAACCATCTCATCCTCGGTCATCCCTTCTTCTCTTGCCCTCAATCTTTCCCAGAAACCGAGTCTTTTGCAGTGAGTTGGCTCTTCACATCAGGTGGCCAAAGTATTATTGGAGCTTCAGCTTCAGCATTAGTCCTTCCAGCGCATATTCAGGGTTGATTTCCTTTAGCATTGACTGATTTGATCTCCTTGCTGCCCAAGGGACTCCCAAGACTCTTCTCCAGTACTACAATTCAAAAGCATCAATTATTCTGCACTCAGCCTTCTTTATGGTTCAGCTCTCACATCTGTACATGACTACTAGAAAAACCATAACTTTGACTATATGGACCTTTGTCGGCAAAGTGATGTCTCTGCTTTTTAATATGCTGTCAAGGTTGGTCATAGCTTTCCTTCCAAGAAGCAAGCCTCTTTTAATTTCATGGGTGCAGTCACCATCTGGAGTGATTTTGGAACCCAGGAAAATAAAAGCTGTCACTGTTTCCACTTTGTCCCCTTCTGTTTGCCATGAAGTGATGAGACTGGATGCTGTGATTTTATGCTCTTTTGAATGTTGAGTTTTAAGCCAGTTTTTTCATTCTCCTCTTTCACTTTTATCAAGAGGCTCTTTAGTTCCTCTTCTGCCTAATGAGTGGTATCATCTGAGGTATATGTGGTATATCTGAGGTTGTTGATATTTCTCCTGGCAATCTTGATTCCTGCTTGTGATTCATCCAGCCCAACATTTTGCATGATATATTCTGCATATAAGTTAAATATGCGGGGTCACAATATACAGCCTTGGAAACTTCTTTCTCAGTTTTGCACCAGTCTGTTGTTCCATGTCCAGTCCTTACTGTTGCTTCTTGAGCTTCATATAGGTCTTAGGAGGCAGGTATTCCCGTATCTTTAAGAATTTTCCACAGTTTGTTGTAATACACATAGTCAGAGGTTTGGCGTCATCAATGAAGCAGAAATAGATGTTTTTCTGGAATTTGGTTGCTTTCTGTATGATCCAACAAATGTTAGTAAATTAATCTCTGGTTCCTCTGCTTTTTCTTAATCCAACTTGTACATTTGGAAGTTCTTAGTTCGTGTACTATTGAAGTCTAGCTTGAAGGATTTTGAGCATTACCTCTCTGGCATGTGAAATAAGTGCAATTGTGCGGTAGTTTGAACACTCTGGCATTGCCCTTCTTTGGGATTGAAAAGAAAACGAAACTTTTCCAGTCCTGTGGCCACTGCTGAGTTTTCCAAATTTGCTGACATACTGAGTGCAGCACTTTTACAGCACCAACTTTTAGAGTTTGAAATAGCTCAGTTGGAATTCCATCACCTCCACTAGCTTTGTTTGAGGTAATGGTTCCTAAGGCCCACTTGACGTCACACTCCAGGATGTCTGGCTCTAGGTGAGTGACCACACCATCATGGTTACCTGGGTCATCAAAACCTTTTTTGTAAAGTTCTTCTGTGTATTCTTGCCACCTATTCTTAATCTCTTTCTTCTCCAGGGGATCTTCCCTACCCAGGGATCAAACCCAAGTCTCCTGCACTGCAGGGAGATTCTTTACTGTGTGAGCCACCAGAGAAGCCTTACAGCTCCAGTGCTCACATCTTAATTCAAAATTTTAGATTGTTATGCAGAGTTGAAGTTATTAGTATAAGAGGTATCTTGGTATTGGTCGAATGTGAGTGTGACTCAGGACACAAGTACTTTGGAAGCTACATATTTGTTTGTTTTTTCTTTAGTATTTATTCAGGAAAAATTCATTCAGTACCTACTATGTACCAGGCTCCATGCTAGGCATTATCTCACAATAAACTGGCTCCATTTTAGTGGTACTGAGCAAAGGTTAATTTGTATTATTAAGTCCTAAACTTATAAATGAGAGTCAGAGTTCATACCTAAATCTGATTCCTAGGCTTTTATTCTTTTCATTGATCTGTGCTGCTTTCCTTTTGCTGAGTCTTATTCTGTACATTATTATCCAAAATAAATCATTTAACTTCAAAACTTAAACTGTAGAAAGAAAAAAAAACCTTATAATAATTTTCCTGTATTAAGTTAGTAGAGATTCCTCAATTTTGGAATTTTCATTAATTTAGCGTCTTCCAAATTAAGGCAGCATAATTACCAAAGGACTCTTGATGTTTTTGTAATCCACATAAAGTATCTTAATGCATGCTTCAGTCAGTTCAGTCATGTCTGACTCTCTGCAACCCTGGTGACTCTGTGCAGTCTGCCAGGCTTCTCTGTCCATGGGATTCTCCAGACAAGAATAATGGAGTGGCTTGCCGTGACCTTCACCAGGGAATCTTCCGGACCTGGGGGTCAAACCAACATCTCTTATATCTCCTGCATTGGCAGGGGGTTTTTTACCACTGGTACACCTGGGAAGCCCAAGTATCTTAATGTTCCCATGTTAATGTCAATGTTCTCCGAGATTCTAGTTCTTTCTCACTTTACAGGCCATGTCAATAAGTCAAGAAATTTCTCTCCAAGAAATTTCATTATAAAAGTAAATCTGGATTTCTACACAGGCAAAAACATAAATTAAGATACAATATAAGCATTTGAGAAGATAGGTAAGATTTAAAATCTGTCCTTTAAAGAAAAATTGTAGTAGTTGATCAGTATTAACAAATCAATATTAACCTATTGAGATGAAATTCAAGTTGAAGATCAATTAGCAAGTACGTACTAGATGACTGTATATGCAAAGCATCATACAGTTTCAATGGAGAGTGGAAAACAAGAATGGGACATAGTATTAACTCATGTTTATTCTACCTGAAGAAGAAAAATAAGTGTATAAAAGGTTATCTACTCCTACTCAAAGAGCTATAGAAGAGATGTTTAGGAAATAATGTATGTATGGAGCTACACTGTCCAATATTGTAGTCACTAGCCACATGCATCTATTGGGTACCTGACATGTGGCTAGTGTGAGTAAGGGACTGAATTTTAAATTTTATTTAATTCTAAATTTGATTTTCCACATTATGATAGTGACTGATGACTACCATATTGGACAGTGAGCTCAATGGTGAAGAGCCAATTAATGTTTCAGCAGAATGATCCTAATGAGAAATAAATACTGATGAAGAAATAGAATGGCATAAGCAAAATAACATGAAATGTATATTGTGTCTTTTCTCACCCTTTATAACTTTCTCATTGTTCCATGCTAATAATTTATCATAAAATACCACCTTTTTGTTGTAACTATGTTTTCCAAAATATATTGTCAAAAGATATTGACATAAGGGAATTGTTAATATTTTTTAGGGTTTTGTCATAACAAACATTTAGCTTATATCCTTATACAGAAATCACTGGTTTTCATTAAAGACTTATGTATCATTTATTATTTCACTAGATACTAAATTTTTCCATATTTTATTTGGTAAATGTGCCAGGATTTGGCTGAAACTGCCAGATGGGTAAGAAATCCTTGCTATTAAGTTTATATCCTGGGTTTGGTACTGAGGGAGATTTATGCAGGGCGTAGATTTCCAGCAGATCATGCCCTCTTCAGTTTACATGGTGTACCCAAGACAATAAAATAGAGCCTGTCTTCTTGTTGCTTAAAGTAATATGTAGCTTCAAAAGTTATCAATTGGTCATTTTGTCTTTTTCATATGTCTTTAAAATGTGATTGAAGCTCTTTCTAAAATGTCTTTGAAAAATAGGACTAACATTTATTACAGACTAAATTATAGTAGTCATTTGTGGTAGTAATCCTTGTATTTAAGTGGATATGATTTTTAACCTTAGTATAGCTGAATCTACCCATTAAATCTTCCTTAAAAAAGAATTCTACTGTATTGTATTACTTAAACATTGATGACATTTTCTTATTTAGTAGTCTGGTGTAGCCTTTACATATTTCATAAATATTTACCAGTAGAGTTAGAGTTTCATCTGTTGTTAATAAAGCTTTAAGACAAAAGTAACTCATGTTGAGTATATAGTGATTCAATTGCCTTAACCTAGGTTTTATTCTGTATTAGTAATCAGAGGCTTTATTATTAATTTGCTTATTGGTAAACTAAATTCAAACATCAAAAATAATATATATGACTATAATAATTTGTCGGGGTGGATCTTATTAATTCACATTACTGAGTGAAAAATTAAATTTGAATTTCAGTTGAAGAGTTCTGCAAGCTAATCAAAACTTGGAGAATTTTGTGCTTTGTTGAAATCTCAATAAAGCTGTTTTTAAAAATCAGCCAGCTAAAGGGGTGGAAAAGCTTGTTAGATAATACTGAAAAGGAGAGGGGAGAAAGTTACTTCTTGGTCTTTTTAATGAACACTTAATAAATTTAAGGAGCTACCCCGTTACAGGGAAAGATTAGGTTGACTTTTTTGTGGTTTGTGGTTTCTTCATAATCACAACTTCTGTGTGGAGGCACCCATTCAAGTAGAACTGAATTAAAACTTGCCCTCAGACTGTATATTTCACCCTGAATCATTTTTCCCCCTCAGATATCTGCTTTATCTGAACCACACTTTGAGTCTGAGCAGGTAGTAATTGGAAGGACATTTAAGTGAGGTTCTAGGTAGAAATAAGGCTTGGTAACTCTCCTCTGCCCAAAGTGTAAGTGTCAGCATTTTAACTAGGTTTCTCTTTTGTTTGAAACAGTGATGACTCGTGGCACTGCCTCCAGCCCATCCTATAGATTCATATTGAATGATGGGACAATGCTTAGCGCCCACACCAAGTGTAAACTTTGCTACCCTCAAAGTCCAGACATGCAACCTTTCATCATGGGAATTCATATCATCGACAGGTACTACTTATTTGGAGAGTTTCATATGAAATAAGTCAGTTCACATATCTCTTCTTAGAGCAGAAAGTTTTATACTCTTGATGGCTAGAAAACCAGTTTTTCATTAGGCATTTAACTAGCATGATGAGAATATAATCAGTATATCCATACTGAGTTTTATAGTTTTGTCGCCTAACTATAGCTTTGTTGTCCAAAAAGGGAGAAAGAAAAGGTGTGGCTGAATATATGCTTTAGGGGTAAAAACCAAAAACTAAAAATTTCCAGCTTTCCATATATAAACTTATGGTCTTATAAAAGATTCAAGTTTATTAGTATTGTTATTTTTAATTTTAAAAGTGCTTTATTTTCATTAAGGCAAAACTCAGTGACTCCTGAGTTCAAGTTGACAGTTTCTCAAGCTACGAATTATTTAACTATCAACTTGAGATATTTGAATGTCACTGCCTCTGATTTGTTCTCTCAAAATGTGTTTTACACTATTATATATGGTAAATTCATGAAACCATTCTTTTATCCTATGAATTATTCAAAACTCTACATTTACAACTATTTAAAATTTAGCATTAAACAAAAACATTTTCCCTCACTTCATCTTTCCCTCATCTGATATATTTGCTTATTGGAACATGGTAATACCAGTCACAAATCTGTTGTAATTATGGATTTGAGTAAAAGAACTTGATGAAAGTCTGAATTCAGTATTCTGCTTTTTCTAATTTTAGTTTAATTTATGCTTGTGAGTGGAATTAGCACAGTTCTTTTTTTCATATTGTGATTTCTCTTTCAAAACATCTGCTATGTCTGCATGTCACCCTTTTTAATTTTTACATCAGTGACACAGTGTTTTCCTTACCCAGTCTTCCTGTTTGGAGTTGAAATACTTAAAAGCTATAATGAAGGGAGTCATGAGTAAATACTTTGTAACCAGAAGTGTGGGAAGTTTCTCTTTCCACCAAAAGTCTGATGTAGTGTTAATTATTTGGATTAAATTTTGTAAAGTTTTAAAGTATATGTGTTGGAAGTTTTCTAGGGCCGGGAAAGATTTCTTGCACATTTAACCATTATCAAATGTATAGTATCTTAAACACTATTTTCCCTTGAAGTGTTCTGTGTTCTAACATTTCACTGTGGTACTAATAGTCGGCTGTTTTCTTTAGTTTAAAGTAATACAAAAGCTTTTTACACGATAGTTTGCAACATTATTGAGGTTAATGGTCTTGTTTTATAATATGCTTCATAAAATATTATAATGGAAACTAATGAAGATGTCTGAATGTCTTTTCCCCTCTCTAGGGAACACAGTGGTCTTTCTCCTCAAGATGACACTAATCCTGGAATGTCAGTGCCCCGGGTAAACCCTTCCGTCAATCCCAGTATCTCTCCAGCTCACGGTGTGGCCCGTTCATCTACATTGCCACCATCCAACAGCAACATGGTACCCACCAGAGTAAACCGCCAACAGAGCTCAGACCTTCATGGCAGCAGTCATAGCAATTCTAGCAACAGCCAAGGGAGTTTTGGATGCTCACCTGGAAATCAGATTGTAGCCAGTGTTGCCTTAAACCAGGGACAGGCCAGTTCCCAGAGCACTAATCCCCCATTAAACCTCAATAATTCCCCTATGGAAGGTACAGGAATATCCCTTGCACAGTTCATGTCTCCAAGGAGACAAGTTAGTTCTGGATTGGCAACAAGGCCCAGGATGCCAAACAGTTCATTTCCTCCTAATATTCCGACATTAAGCTCCCCCGTTAGCATGACAAGTACTGCCTGTAATAATAGTAACCGATCCTATTCAAACATCCCAGTAACACCTTTACAGAGTATGAATGAAGGACCCAATAACTCTGTTGGCTTCTCTGCCAGTTCTCCAATCCTCAGGCAGATGAGCTCACAGAATTCACCTAGCAGATTAAATATACAACCAGCAAAAGCTGAATCCAAAGATAATAAAGAGATTGCATCCATTTTAAATGAAATGATTCAGTCGGACAATAGCTCTAATGACGGCAAACCTCTGGATTCTGGGCTTCTACATAACAATGACAGACTCTCAGATGGAGACAATAAATACTCTCAAACCAGTCACAAGCTAGTGCAGCTTTTGACAACGACTGCAGAGCAGCAGTTACGGCATGCTGATATAGACACAAGTTGCAAAGAGGTACTGTCATGCACAGGCACTTCCACCTCTGCCTCTACTAACTCTTCAAGCGGTTCTTGCCCCTCCTCTCATAGCTCACTGACCGAGCGGCACAAAATCCTACACCGTCTCTTACAGGAGGGTAGCCCCTCGGATATCACAACTTTGTCAGTGGAGCCTGATAAGAAGGACAGTGCATCTACTTCTGTGTCAGTGACTGGACAGGTCCAGGGAAATTCCAGTGTAAAACTGGAACTGGATACTTCCAAGAAAAAAGAATCAAAAGACCATCAGCTCCTACGCTACCTTTTAGATAAAGATGAGAAAGATTTAAGATCCACTCCGAACCTGAGCCTGGATGATGTAAAGGTGAAGGTGGAAAAGAAAGAACAAATGGATCCTTGTAACACAAACCCAGCCCCCATGACCAAACCTGCTCCTGAGGAAATTAAACTGGAGTCACAGAGCCAGGTAGGTAATGCTTTACTTCATAGAATGAACATTCCTAGTTATTTTTTCTTTTGTTCTGTTCCATGCATAGACTATATTTGGATTCAGGCTATGTTTTGCCCTTGGAGAAGGCAATGGCACCCCACTCCAGTACTCTTGCCTGGAAAATCCCATGGATGGAGGAGCCTGGTAGGCTGCAGTCCATGGGGTCGCGAAGAGTCAGACATGACTGAGCGACTTCACTTGCCACTTTTCACTTTTATGCATTGGAGAAGGAAATGTCAACCCACTCCAGTGTCCTTGCCTGGAGAATCCCAGGTATGGGGTCACACAGAGTCGGACACGACTGAAGTGACTTAGCAGTAGCAGTATGTTTTGCCCTATCCACTGGGCACATATTAAAAAATTAGTATCAATGGTTGAAAACCCACAGGATGCCCTCAAAAATTCTCTTTGGGACCTTGAAGGGCTGCAATATTTAGTGTGGCATTCTAAGAAAGTAGATGTTTCTTTTGATAAAGTCAGAGTTCACATCTTTGAAGATTTTAGAAAAAATGCCTTCCCTGCCCCCTCCTCTCATCTCTCCACCTATTAAATTCGGCTCTTTCAGAACAAAGCCCAGAAACTGGTATTTTAAAGACTTCCCAGAGAACTCTGATAGGTAACTAAGTTTGGGAACCTCCAATGTAAATGAAATGAGAGAGAAATGTGAGGAGGTGGACACAGCTGCCTACTCTGGCTTGCTTTGCTATTTAATTTTCTTTGAAACATTTTCTAAAGTCATTTTCCTTCTCACTCTAACCACTCTCAACCCCCAGCCCCCATCAGATAGCGACTTGGAGTATTCCGGATAGTAGGGTATATAACATGCTCTGAAACAGAAGTAAATACAAATAAACCTTTGTGTAAATTGTTATGGATCAGGAACCTCTGTGTTTAGGCTGGGGTAGCAGGTGGTGAAAAGTAATAGGCAGCTTCATTTATTAAATAATTGCTGTGGATTCTGAAGGAATTTAAGAAAAGCAGAAAATGTGATTCCTCCCCACTAGAAGCTTACGCATTATTTAGACAGAATATAGACATCCATGAAATAGCTGAAAATGTATTTACAAAGCAGTTTATTAATAAGATTCTTCCTTGTGAAACCAAATTCACACTTAGTATGTATAGATCCTAGAGTTTCTTAAGTCAGCTTTATTTTCTGCCCTCATCTCCCAGAAGCCTCTCTCTTCTCTCAGGCATACTACATTCTAGGTACATAGAAGCCTTTCCTATTCTTGGGATAAGCCGTGTCTCTTCTAAGCATCTTCTGCCTTGCTCTCCTTTCTATGTCTGCTGAACTTCTACTCATCCTTTAAACACAGTTCACAGTCGTTCACACACAATACACAATCATTTCTGTAAAGCTTCCCCCAGCAGCTCTAGTTAGACATTCTTTTCCTCGAATGCTCAGAGTCTCTGTATTGTCTCTATTTACTATTTGTAATAACACTGTTTTGGTTATTTCTTTACACATGTACTCTTTGAGAAGGTTTTCCTATGTTTCTTGGTACAGCTAAACTAATGTCGTGTTTCTAAGCTGAATAATAGCTTTAAATAACTACATTAAAATTCTCAGTCTTTAAAATTGACTTCACAAGTAACAGCTTTATAAGAAAATGCCATTGTATACTCTCTTGGCACATCTGTTTTGGTGTACATACCTGCACTTCTGCTGAGTTTATACCTGGAGATGGAATTACAGGATCATAAAATATGTGTGTGTGTTCATCTTTAGCAGATAATGCCAGTTTTTCCAGGGTATAAGAATTCCTTCTAGTTGTCCCATGTCCTTATTAATACTTGGTGTGGTGTATCTTTTTAACTTCTGGATCTGTGTAGTGATATTTCATAGTTTTAATCTGCCTTTCCCTAATAAATATCTGGGCTTCCCAGGTGGTGCTAGTAGTAAAGAACCCTCTTGCCAATGCAGGAGACATAGAGATGCAGGTTCGATCCCTGGGTCAGGAAGATCCCCTGGAGGAGGGCATAGCAACCTACTCCAGTATTCTTGCCTGGAGAATCCCATGGACAGTGTAGCCTGGTCGGCTACAGTCCATAGGGTTGCAAAGGGTTGTACACTATTGAAGCAACTTAGCACACAATAAATATTTGTTGGTCATTTGGATGTTTTCTTTTGTAAATAGTTTGTCGAAGTGTCTTGCCCATTTCCCCAATATGTTACACTTTTCCTATTGACGTGTGAGAGTTCTTTACACATTTTGGGTGAGTAATTTATTGGTTATATATTTACAGATGTCTTCTCTATACTGTGCCTTGCCTTTTCTCTCTGTTAATGGTGCTTTTTGATGAAGTGAAGTTCTCCATTTTAATGTAGACTTCAAACTGTCAGTTTTTTCCTTTTTGATTAGTACTTTTTTCACATGCCACAAAAGATGTGTTTAAAAATAGTCATAGTAGTTTTACTTATATTAGCCCAAAACCAGAAGAATTCCCAAATCCATCACTAGAATTGGTAAATATATTTTGTAGCATATTCATACAATGGGATACTATTCAGCAACAGAAACCAAATGCACTATTACTACCTGGAACAGCATGTCTAAACTTCAGAAATGTAATGTGAAAGAAGCCAGACATTTAAAAAAATATGTACATATAATTCTACAATCTAGGAAGAAATTTTAGTTGAATTAAGTAATAAAACCCAAACAGCTAGACATTTTATGTTTATGAATTATCTTAAGGTAACCGTCGTGGAATAATGTTGTGAAATAAAGGTCAATTTTCTCCTGTGCCTAGCCACAGACAGATGTAGGAACTCCCTACTTATGATAGAAAATACGTTTCCTACTCTGTTAAGTCTTTAAATGGGAAGTGACTTTTCTGGGATATTTGAAGCTGCTGCTGCTAAGTCGCTTCAGTCGTGTCTGACTCTGTGCGACCTTATAGACGGCAGCCCACCAAGCTCCCCAGTCCCTGGGATTCTGCAGGCAAGAATACTGGAGTGGGTTGTTATTTCCTTCTCCAATGCATGAAAGTGAAAAGTGAAAGTGAAGTCGCCTTAGTCGTGTCCGACTCTTAGCAACCCCATGGACTGCAGCCCACCAGGCTCCTCCATCCATGGGATTTTCCAGGCAAGAGTACTGTAGTGGGGTGCCATTGCCTTCTCCGTATTTGAAGCTAATATCATTTAAAAAAAATTTCACAGACTTTAAGAAATTATTTTTAAAAAGTATGTCAATGTAAATATATTTTTTACTCCTTCATAAAGTAAGCCATTTTATAAAATTTTTAAAAAATTGACTGGTGAAAAAAATTTGAAAAATATGACTGGTAAAAATCACTTATGATGTTATTGTCATAACACAGTACTCTTGATATCTCTTTCCAGTTGAATCTTTTTCCAGTGTGTACATTTTATACCAAAATATAATAGATAAGCCCCATATGTATGTTGTCTTACATCCTGCAGTATATCAGTACCATAAACTTCCACATTTTGTTCCAGTGTTAGGTCATGCTATTTCATTGAGGCCCCAGTCTTTCTAATGATTTCTTCTTTCTTCATTCTCTCATAGTCACACTCAATTCATGTATTTTAAAGGAACAACTTGTTTTCTACTTTCTTTCAGGTGAAAGTGTAGAATGTGTTTCCTCTAACTTTGGTTTTTGTTCTTAGTTTACAGCTGACCTTGACCAGTTTGATCAGTTACTACCCACGCTGGAGAAGGCACCACAGTTGCCAGGCTTATGCGAGACAGAGAGGATGGATGGTGCAGTCACCAATGTGGCCATCAAATCAGAGATCCTGCCGTCTGCACTTCAGTCCACCACTGCCAGGCCCACTTCCAGGCTGAACAGTATGTGTTGGGGACAGAACTTCATTTTAAATGTTTAGTGATGATATGGATTAGAGCTTTGTCTCTCATAATTATTGCACAGACCTTTCGTTTATTGGGACTGAAGTATCTTTTCATTAATACCACAGTTAGTAGTATATAGTTGACTTTATATATATGAATGTCACTCATCTTGTGTATTTTAAGTTATAGTATTGCTTCTACTTTTTGATAGGTAATTTTAAGGTGAGCAGTTGATATTAAGAGTAATTTTATGTTCTTACCCAACCCTCCCATAGTAAGACTTTCAGAAGTATAATGTTGGGTCAGATTATGTTTCCAGAGTGTCTTTCTTGAACACTAGTTCCATAAATTGTGAAGAAAAGGATTTTGTGCTGACATTTACACTGGGCAAATGCTTCATGACACATATACCATTCCTTAGTGTATATTAGAGGTTTTATGAAGTCCTGTGTTAGAGAAACCAGTTTAGCTTTTTAATTTTTTTGCTTTGTCTTCATGCCAGTTTCTTTTTTTAATTCTTAAAAAATTACACATTTTTTAAAGTTTACACTCCATTTGCAATTATCATAGAATAATGGCTATATTCCCCATGTTGTATAATACATCCTTGTTGCCTATCTTACGATTTAAATTTAAATTAAATATTTATTTAACCCAACATTTACCAAACTTTTCTTGATTATGGAATTCCTTTCGTTAAGTAGTATGTGTTACCCCACAGAATGAGTTTTTCATGGAGACAACTGTGTTGAAATAGGTCATGACTGCTCTCGCCCATGTTACTTTCCTACTTAAGAGACACTTTGAATAGTATATTTCCAGTTCATGAAGCTAGAGCTATCAGATTATTTTCACCTGTCAGATTTGAAGTTGAAAAAAATAGTCGTGATAATTCCATTGTGTGACCTTGAAAGTAAGGGAAACAAACCAGCTCACTTTCAAATTTTGCCTATGCCTCATCTCATGGGACCAGAGGTGGGGCTTGTTTATTTCAGTCATACCTCAGCTTTTAGCTATCATGACACAATTCCTGAAAGCTTTGGAAAGCTAGGCATTTGGAAAGAAAAATCTCAAATCATCTCTGACATTTTGGGAAGCAGTTTTTCAGCTGAGCAGAACACTAGATGAGAGCAGGAGCCTAGGTTCAAGTCTCACATTTTCCATTTATTATTAATAACAGTTATACCTTCAGCAAATGAATTTTCTGAGCCTCATTCTCTTTATCTACAAAACAAGGATTTGTTGTTGTTCAGTTGCTTAAGTCGTGCCCGACTCTTCGTGACCCCACAAACTGCAGCACGCCAGGCTTCCCTGTCCTTCACTATCTCCTGGAGCTTGCTCAAACTCATGTCCGTTGAGTCAGTGATGCCATCCAACTGTCTCTGTCATCCTCTTCACCTCCTGCCTTCGATCTTTCCTAGCATCAGGGTCTTTTCCAATGAGTCAGCTCTTTTATTATTATAAAATAAGAATTAGATGAAATGATTTCAGAAGTCTTCTAATTGAAATTAGACTCCAGACCCTGGGATATTAGGGACAGGTGGGGAAACAGTGAGGTATAAGGCTAAAATAAGAGTTTGTGAACTGATTGGTTCGATCCTGGTCCTTCCCCTTCTGATGTGGGAAACTGGAGGAGTTATCTTGAGAGAGAGCACATGGCCAAAAGAAGATGTTGGGATGTCGGTATTTATGGGGAAATCCCTAAAGTGCAAAGGTCATGCTGCCATCTTAAATATCCAACAGTGGGACTTATCTCGTGGTCCAATAGTTAAGACTCTATGCCTCCAATGCAGGGGGCACAGGTTTGACCACTGCTCAGAGAACTAAGATCCCACATGCCAAATGATATGACCAAAAAATAAAAATAAATAAAATAACACTAATAAGCGTCCAACGGTGAAGGCTACAAGCAGGCACAAGCCTTACACAGAACCCAACCAGACAATGTTTTAGAACAGTGTATCTGTTTAGAACAAACACAGCCAAAGACCATCAAGACTTGAAGCCTGTAACATAAAAGAGAGCAAACTAACCAGGGATTGAACCCGCGTCTCTTGTTTCTCCTGCACTAGCAGGCAGGTTCTTTACCACTAGTGCCACCTGAAAAGCTCTTTTCCCCCTCACTGTTTCTGAAATTTTTATCAATCGCTATTGGTCCTCGTAGGTCAACCTAACTTTTTCTTGCCTACTTTCTATTTGTCTTTTGCTTTCTCTGAAAGATTTTCTCAGCCTTATTCTCTAATATTTCTCTTGAAATTTAAAAATTTCCGATATCTAATTTCCAAAAGTCCTTTCTTTTGTACTTTTTTTCTTCTGATGCTACTCATGAATGATGTATCTTTTCAAAAATTGTTAGTCTATACACTCATTATGTATTTCCACTGTATACGGACAGAGGAGCCTGAAGGGCTATAGACCATAGGGTTGCACAGAGTCAGACACGACTGAAGTGACTTAGCATGCAGCATGTATAAGGGGGGGAATGGAAACGAAGATATTTTCAAACCAAAAAAAAAGAATTTTCTAGAACTGAAAGACATATTTCTTCAGAGTGAAATGATTCAACAAGTATTCAACACACACACATACACACACACACACACGCAAAAGACCTGTACCAAAACTTATTATCATGTAATTCTAAAACATCAGAGATAAAGATTCTAAAAGCTTGCAGAGAGATGTGAATTGTATACAATGAATTGTAATGACCAAAACTTGGAAACTATCAAGCCACAGAAAGACATGGAGAAACCTTAAATGAATATTGCTGAGTGAAAGAGGCCAACCTGAAAAGGTTACGTACTTTATGATTCCAACTCTATGGCATTTTGGAAAAGACAAAACTAGAGACAGTAAAAAGATTAGTGATTGCCAGGGAGAGGGATAAATCAATGGAACATGGGTAATTTTTAGAGCAGTGAAACTATTCTGTGTGATACTGTAATGGTGGATACATGTTATTTTACATTTATCAAAACCACTAGAATGAGCAACACAAAGCGTGAACCCTAATGTAAACTGTGGGCTTTATTTAATGAAAATGTGCCAATATTCATCAATTCTAACAAATATACCACACTAATGTAAGATGTTAATAATAGGGGAAACAGCCCAATCTAAAAAATGGGCAAAGAATTTTAAAATATACTTCATAAAAAAAGATATGAAAGTTGCAAGTAAGCACATAAGAAGATGGTCAGTGTTTTTAACCATCAAGGAAGTGTGAATTAAAACTATAATGCAGTACTGCTACATACTCATTGAAGTATCCAATATTTTTAAAACTGACAAAACAAAATGATGGCAAAGATGTGGGGCAACTTGAACTTTGGTGTTGCTGGTAGCAATGTAAAAGGGTAAAACAGATTTGCAGAATTGTTCAACCATTTCTCTTAAACACGTTTTTACCATGTGACCCGACAATTCAACTATTAGTTACTGGAGACAGAGCCAAATGAAAGCATGTGTTCATCAAAAACTTGACCACAAAAATTCACAGAGCTTTATTCATGATAGTCTCAAACTAGAAACAATTTGAATGTTCATCAACAAGGAAATGGCTTATTTATAAGATGAAGTACTGCTCAGCAGTGAAAAGGAAGGGACTGTTAGTATGGGGCATGAATTAGTCTCAAAAATATGATGAGTGAAAAAAGTAAAGATCATTGGTTGCCAGTGGTGGGGTAAAATGAGGGAAGATTGATAGCCAAAGAGCTTGAGGAAATTTTTAAAGGTGATAGAAATATTCTGTATTCCTGATTGAGATGGAAGATTATATATGGGTTTATACTTTTGCCAAATTTATTAAACTGTACACTGAAAATCAGTGCATATTGTTTTATATAAACTGTATATTAATAAAATTTACTTTAGAAACACCAGAGGTTAGAATGATTTCTGACCTGTAATCAGGCACCCAACTTCCAGTAGTTGTGAAGGTGAAATAAAGACATTTTTGGATATAAAAGGGCCCAAATACTTGCATAGTATGTTTACCTTCTCTAGTTAAGGCCCTTGAGGATATATTGGGTTGGCAAAAAGTTCATTCGGATTTTCTGACAAACTTTTTTGCCAACCCATACTTCAGCAAACAGGGAGAAAACCAAAAAAGAGAGGCTTACCAGGTCCAGGGAAACAGAGAATCTGAAAAGAAGTCCAGGAATGATAGGTGATCAGCCAGATTAGAGAACAACACATGTAAATTGGAGTAGCAGGCCCAAGTCTTCTGAAAAGACAGCCTCCAGGGAAGAAATGAAATCTGTCTCTGAGTTTATAGAAAGGTTATTGATAGATTTATGTCAAAAATGTTGAAGCATCTGAAAAAGTCTCCTAGAAAAGCAGGAAAATGAAAAAAATAAACTAATTGTTAAGAAAAATGAAAGCATGATATAAGGAGGGATGTTTGTACACAATATGACTTAGCAGTAAGTAATATTTGCATAGTCCTAAGAATCTAAACTGAACTGAAGAATCTAAATATTAACATTTTATTAAAAAAAAAAAAAAGCAGTGATCTCTGTTAGGGAATTGGGAGCATAGGAGGTAGTAAGAGTGGTAGATGTGAGAGAACTGAAACTCCATCCATCATGATGGGGTGTCAGAAACTTAAAATAGAGATATTTTAGAAATAATGAGGCAGATGCCAAAGAAAACAAACAAGTTGTGAATGGTTGTCTCTGTTGAAAGGGGAGTAATCAAAGGGTCAGAAGGGGCAAGACAGAAAATTACTCTTATTCTAGACCTTTTGGTTCTGACTTTTAAAGTTCTGTATATGTGTTAATTTGATGAAAATTAAAGTTAATAAAAATAGAAAGTGTCTTCTTGCTCTCCAGTCTCTGAAAGTGGAATGTTTTTCATTCATAATCCCTCTTGACTCAAATAACTCTTTTTTCTCTCTTGAGATTTCCTTCCCTGAATACAGCTTTATGTACATGTGCTCAGTCAGTCATGTCCAACTCTTTGAGACCCCAAGGATTGTGGCCCACCAGGCTCCT